TTAATTATAATTTAGAATAGGAATAAAACAATATACATGTTTGAAAAAAGTTATGAGGATTTATGGATATACATATACATGTACCTACATTATGTTATTGTGTTATTGTTTCAGAAACCTGTCAAGGAGATGCCAGCATACAACTATATCTTAGAACAATTTCGAACACATCAAGTAACCAGTGAGAGAATATGTAAAGGCCATAATGATGTGCAACACCTGGGACTTACTTACCTAAGCTATTTATCAAATGTTAGAAAAAATCAGGTACATATTTTGATTTTCATATAATACAAAGAAATACAATGCTATTACCATCTAATAGCCTGACCAAATGTTTTATGGTCAGTCACAATATATGTAATAGAAGAACCTAAGTATAAAGCTCTTTTGAGTATGATACTACAATTGTTATACATTTGTATAACATGTGACTATTGAAAATGTTGAAAATTATTGAGCATTTGCTATTTATTTGCTATTGAATTTATGAAATCTGGAGTGGAAATGTCGCCACCTCTTTTGTGTTTATGATTCTCAAAGAAATGACTTGTCACTTTGAAGTAGCAAAATCACTATATCATGTATGTTTAACTGTTTGTATGGATTCTGAATCATCGATGTTATGTTTTATTACTAAAGTGTCATAGGTTGCAATCTTTACTATATACTTCACTACTCTTCTCTGTCTGTGTAGGTAAATAGTAGCTACATGTATATTTATTTCTACCATTTGAGTACAGTAAAACCTGTGTATAGTGAACATTTTTTTGCCGAGAAAAAATGTTCAATGTCTTACTGTTGGTAGGTGTTCACTACAGCAATGATTTGTTATATAAACTAATATAGACTTATTTTAGACTGACTGTCATCTGAATGGATCATCCTTTAATTTTCAAATTTTAATCTCTTTATACATTTTTGTTGTGTTATAATAATCTCATTGAGATGATCCTTGAAATAATGGAATCCTTGACACATTTGAGTCAGTTAAAGGACTTTATTGAATCAACTAAAGGATGTGATAGAGTCAATTAAGAGTGATCATTTTAATTTTAATTCAATCTGTTTTTCAAATTGATTGGAATGAGAAAAAGATTGATGCTGTATTTTCATATACTCGCGGGTGCAACATACCCGCACAGCATGTAATGAGCCTAATCATTAGTGTAAAAATTTCTCCAGGCGGGATGATATCAGAATTAGCGGGATGATATCGATATCAAACCTGATATCATCCCACTAATTCCAATATCATCCCTATCCCAAATATGTGATTCATCACTTGATGATGTATACCTGATATTGCCCTGACCATGGTATATATCTTTTATATGACCATATTATTTTTGTCAAAATACCCAAAATGACATATGTATTCCAATACTCTTTGAAAAATGTTTCATTTTATTTTGCCTATATAAAAGAGATTGAAGAAGATAAGATAAACTGTTCAGTAATATATAATTGTGTTTTAATAACCTTTTTTTGAATCATTGTAAAATAAATCCCCGTTCCAATTCCTGCCATTCTGGTAACGCCATGCAATGGATGCAATTCAAAGTGAGAGAGAGAGAGAGAGATCTATGAACATCAGAATGCGTCCACCCCATTAATTTGGCCAAATACATGCCATGAAACTGGCATAAGCTTAAGTACATCCCCCCTTTCTCTGGTAAATTATGACTATATTTTTCGGAGTAATGGGTTTCGGACAACTAGGTTTCGGACAACTGGGGTGTACCCGCAAAAACATTAAGAGTACATGTAGATTGGAGTATTTTTTATTCATGTTATGAGCACCAGTCTTGTGTCCAAAATGTGGGACACAAATTGCTCTAGCAGGATGTATATTCTAATCATATGTCATAGATGATTCCCGGGAGATGAATCGACTTTCACCTCTTCACTTTGTTCATATATTTTCCCTTTCAGGAGCTGACATCCCAGTACAAAGGCAAGGGTGAGAGAACAGTTGAAGAAAGTGCAAGATTAGTTGGACTGACCTCTGCAAAATCTTATGAAGCCCCAGAGGCACCTCCTGATAAATAGGCATGCTTGAAACAACTATAAATATTATTTATTTTAATGAGTCAGTACTGTGAATCACATTATGCCCCATCACTTGTCATCACCTGGAATAGCTATGATAGAAGATTTCAAAGATAGAAGAATCTGTAAATTAAACATTTATTGAATCATGTTGTTTACCAGTGTGACTTCCAACCTTAAGAAGTTACGCTGTAAATGCAATATTGCCAGACATATCAGAGTGATTATATTTTGAAAAATCCTACACCCATTAATGATTTCAAAATAACACTAAAAGAGGACTGAGACTTTGATACTGCTTTGAATATGTTTGTACTCATTGCTGCCATAAGTAAAATTTCATCTTTGTTTGCCAAAGAAAACCATGGTGAGGCAGTAAATTCTACATTAAAAGAAAATTTTGAAGATGATCCTCAAATATTGTGATGTATATTGTGTCCAAATTCTAAGGTTTTCACTTTTGGGGAATTTGAAATCTTGAGTAAACTATAGAATTATAATTTTGTGATTGTTCAAATTCCAAAGGTGATCACTTTAAATGGGTGCTCATATAAGTTTACAGTTTTTCCTGTATTACAAATTATACTGCTGGTATGCTGTATGTAGATAGATCCCTGATATGTTTGTTAAACTATTGCATTCTAAAGGCCTCACTGGTAGAGTGTGGTGCCATTGTATTGCAGCTTTTGAGAAGGAATAAATGTTAATGATTTAATTATAGTTCATGCTTTCCTCTGTTAATATATATTATAATATACTTCATGCCATTTTAGCCAATGGAAAAGTTTTCTCATTTTTATTTAACATTTTCAATATTTTTCAAGGGGTCCAAACTTTCCCCTCTTGGTGCCAACTGCCAAGGAGGTATTTTCAACAAGCAAATACATGCATATCTAGGTCCTAAGTAATGAAGACCAGGAAGTAATAGTTATCAGTGCAATTGTCACAGTAATGTGTCATCCATAATTTATTTTTTTATATGGTGACATCATACGATATTCTGTTATGAAAAAAAGTCCAAAAGCTTAGAAGTGAATAATCTGTAACAATAATTTACTATATAAAAAAATAATGATGGAAAAGTACTGAATGTGAAGTGTACAGTCAATTATTGTATTTGTGATATTTACAGTTAAATAACAAAATGAGATTTGGGCTTAAAAATAATTTCCAAAATAGATAACACTACTTTTGCATCATCTTTTTGTTTTTTGTCAGTTTTGAGTGGTAAGATGCAATAGGAACAGTTGGATATTAACTCTCTATTGATGGATTGTTATGATTGAAATAATGAATTTTCAAATGAACCCACATTTTAATAAATGGTTTACAAATCATTAGTTGTTCAGGGACATGCTAAACATAGTATTCATTTAGCAATTCAATAGTAACATCTGCATTCAATATCAACAGATTCAACACAAGGTTGTTTCACAGCAACCTGACTCACCTCTGAAGCAAGTCGAGGAAAAGGAAGACATGTTTTATAAAAAAATGATTGTAAATGTTGAAACAAGTTGTTGGAGTGTATTTGGAAGTACTTAAAGTAAAATTGATTGTATATGCTATTGAGTAAACTAGGATAGTGCTTGTGTACTAGATTCTCGCAATAACTCTATAGTTTTAAAGGGAGGACATATTTCATAAAAAGATGATTGTAAATGTTGAAACAAGTTGTTGGGAGTGTATTTGGAAGTACTAAGAGTAAAATTGATTGTATATGCTGTTGAGTAAACTAGGACAGTACTTGTGTAATGTGTACTAGATTCTCTTTTAAAGGGAGGACATATTTCATAAAAAGATGATTGCAAATGTTGAAACAAGTTGCAGGAGATATATGGAAGTCTAAATATATGTCTGAGTATTTAAACTTTCTTGAGATAGAAGTATTGTAACAAAAGTTGATTTGTGTTGAAAAAGCACAAAACAATATTTAAAGTATATAAAAGTTTATTTTCATTCAATATTTGTAAAAATCAATTTAAGTTAAACAATTAACACTGCAAATGCATGTCATTATAAGCATTTATATACAGTGAAACCTGTATATAGTGAACACTTATTTGTTCACTGTAGGTAGGTGTTCACTACAGAGAGAATTTTATAAATTAGTCAATGTAGAATGTCTCTTCAAGTGTCCACTTGACACAGGTGTTCACTAGATAGAGGTGTTCACCTGGACAGATTTTAGTGTATTTCTGTTATAAGTGACTTTCAAAAATCTCTGAAATGTTGTTACTAATATATAATAATTATAATGATGATATCTGGCTTATCCCTATCGCTTTCTAACACATCAAATCTGTACATATATTATGTAATACTTGCAAGTTCCCTAAAAAATAAAATTTAGTATGAACCTCTACACATAAAGAATTTTAATCATCTTTCTCATTTTTTGCTTCTCATGGTATCTAGTTTCACAGAAAATATGATTATATTATTAATTATTGACCAATATGGTCTACAGTTAAGTATATACACTATACAGTAAAAACTATCAAACTAGTATCAAAACTATGTAAACAAATAAGTGAATTCAGTTTCACTAAAATACACATTTCCTCATTGTGTACCAACATGGTACATATTATACACTTATAAATTGTGAATTAGGCTCTCAGTCTAAAACCAAATAGAATATATCTAATATAGAAACTTATTTTTATGTGAAACTAAATAAATTTATAGTTGCGCTACCTGGACAAGATAAATGATAAAAAGTTCAGATTTTAATAACATCCTTGTTAATATTTTTTGATATTTCCTCAAAAAACTTTGCCAAAACTGAAGCTCTTATCTCTATTGGTCTTCAAAAAGGACCAGGAAGGAAATAATTTTTTATATCAATAGAATAATCGATTTGGTTTCAACTAAGTTAAAGTGTCATTAATATGACAAAACTGTATACAATGCAATATGCAATACAATGTGTTTAAAATATATATGTGTCAATTAGATTTCACATAATAATACAATACAAAATGACAATGCCTTCAAAAGTAATTCAATCCCTTACTCAGCTCAGTTATACTTTTTTGATGCATTCCATCCGGGCATTGTTTTTAATAAATTATGTAAAAAGTTATTTACAAATAAGTTACTTAAATTCTAAAATATGTACACACTATATAAATAGATCCTAAATACCAGACCCATTGTTGAAAATATTATGCATTTTCATATTTATCACAGTTTTAGTTTGTGGCATTAGTGACATTAGAAACTGTCTATTGCCAAATTACTTCCTGCGAAAGCTATGTTGATTTTGATATAATTTCAAAATCTAACATGGCTCTCGAAGTCAGTAAATGTTATTTTCATAGCATGGAAAACTAAAGTAGTTAGAAATGTATTAATGCTGATATTTTATAGATGTTTTTATCCAACCACTGTCCCTTTGATTTTGCTAACTTTATCAGCTACACACGTACATCCAACAGCGATACGCTCCCAGTCTGGTATGTATTTGTAGAAGCCATCTTCACCGCATTCTCCTGCTTGTTTACGGAGAACTCTGACATTGTAGTAAACTGGTCTGCATCCAAACCCATATTCTTTTCCATAGCACCCATCCTTGCAGTTGCAAGAGGCCTGGACCATTGTGCTTGGAAAGCGGTTCTTGTCGTAGTTATAGACATAACTATGGATGGAGAAAAGGAAAACATTAACATGATTAAAGACATTTGTAAGAAAAAAAGTTATTGTGTTTAAATCAAGTTTTGCAGGCTAAAGTCAAAATCTTTAATGGTTGATAGCATTCTAACTTTAACTTACTTTAAAATTTGGAACAAAACTGAAAGATCGTACATGGTATTTTAAAATGATACGTACCTCCAAGGGCAAATCGATCGTTTCATGATGAAACGAGATGTCGTGTTAATTTTACATTCAGTGTCTCCAAATATATGACGCCCATTGTGATCCTCTCCTTTGGTTTCCAAATATGTCCGGGAGCGGTTCGCCCAATGAGCATGCAGTATTCTCGTTAAAGGTGGCAACATTGCAACATTTTCTGAGTAATCGCTATTTCTTCGTGCCCGTTGTAGCACTCTGGAAAGATTCTGTGGTTCGTTGCATTCTGAACCGTACACATTCTTGTTGTTTAAGACGGTAATTGCATACGTTATGAAGAACAACAAAATTACTTTGTTGAACATGGTTGTCATGTGCGTGTCCATCTGAAAGTAATTATCAGGAATTAGTGAGACGAATCGATGGAAATTGGGAAGTGGGGAAGTGCCGTCAGTCTTTCAAATTGGGAAGTGCGGTCAGTATTTCAAATCTGAGTAATCTCTATTTTCATTGAAAACCCCTGCGCTAATTTTTAAATCTAATTGATTCATTTCAATGTATAGTTTTTCAAGGAAAAGAAAATTTGTTTCGTATGACTTTATAATTTCAAATCATAGTAAAAATACGGGTGAGACAAGTAGAACTTTTTGTAAACATAGTAAAAATACGGGTGAGACAAGTAGAAATTTTTGTAAACAATTTCAAAAATATGACAAAGATCTAATTGAAAAAAGGAGCACGTAGGTTATCGCAAACAATTTCAGACCACGATTCTAACTTAAATTATGAATATTTTCTGATTATGAACGCGGGTGTATCTTTTAGACCCATTGATTATCTTTAAGAAAAGTATAATGATAATTACGTTAATCAGACTGAGTGATATTAAAGGGGCAATGAACCAACAACATACTTTTTTCAAAAATGTTGAACTAATTTTCAACAAAAATGCAACATTTTATTATATTGTTGAATGCGTAACCACTTTAAGATATGTTCTTTTCCCTAAAGGAAAAGTGGATTCCTCCAGGGACTTTAAAGATACATGATTGCATTTTTGTGAAAATGAGGTCAACATCTTTGAAGAGGTGTGTTGATGCTATCTAAATATCTACGAGTCCGATTGACTTTATTAAAATAATCATTGTATATAATTTTCTTTGAGACAATACATGGATCTAAAAGATATAATGTCTTCATGGTCAGAAAATAGTCATAATCCAAGATATAACCATCTGAAATTGTTTGCGATAACTTACCTGAACCTTTGTACATGTTCTTCCCCATAGTCATCTCTGTACTAAACGACTATCTGTTGTCAGGTTGCATGATATTAATTATTAGGAATATAATGACTATGAGAAATTATATAAATTGTAGGAAATTAATAATTTTACATACTAATCCACAACGAAATCAAATGTGCAATTATTGAAAAGTATAAAACTTTCATTATAATATTTCTATTTCTATTTTAGATTTCATTTATTATTTTACAATTAAGCCATTATTTTTCTTTAAAACTCAATGTACGTCGCCTGTTAGCCTTGCCCAAGTCGGTATTTTTTTACTAATCTGATTTGAAATCAAGATAGTAAAAGAGACCGACTTGGGCAAGGCTAGTCGCCTGTGTATACTCTGCGTATACATCTTGTACATGTAGTTACGTTACTGTAAAGCTTTTTTTATTACGTAGAATAAAATAATATACATTTCTGTAACCTATCAAATCTTGGTTATATCCCCATTTGTAGATTACTAAGTTAACATTGCAAAGATGTTTTTAGAACTTTGCCGAAATATCTGAAATTAATTTATTCCCTTTTGATAGATTTAATTTGAAATAAATGAACTATTGAAAAATCAAGTTAATTACATTGACAAAAGTTATTTGTTTACCTGTATATTTTTCTTGAAACACCCTTCGTCTGTTTGTAGTTGTCTCCAAATAAGTGAATTAACTTTATTTTGTTTATTATTTTGATCTGTCTATTTGAATCTCTGTTAGAGATGGTATCGTATCGTCCCTTCTGGTTCGTCTGATCCCTCTCGACCGGGGCCCAGTATTCATAGACCCGCTCCGCGATTGCACAAGTTACATCAGCCGTGAATTCACGTGTCAATACTAGACACTACCTTAGCACATGATGGAATTCGTGTTCAAGGCAGTGATTTAAAATATCAAGGGAAAACCCGGCGATTGCCAATTGGCTATCATATTGTTCAAATCGGGTATTCCCATTTGTAATTTTATTTAAATTTGTTACGATTGTCGGTCAATATATTCTGAAACTACAACCTTTCACTTCGTGACCGTTTAGTTCCTGATGATTAATAGATTCAGGTATAAGGTGTATTAGTCTGAGATCAAGCACCCGACCGTCCATCCGGTGGGCTATCCCGAACGTACGACTGGAAAACTTTTGGGAGTGAATAAATAACAATGAACAATAATCATGATCAATTCTCGGAAATTGGTGATTTCCAATATAATATAAATTATTTTTACTGTAAACGTATTTGTTCAACCCATTGTCCGAAAATTGTAGGCTATTACCTAAGTGTTTCTGGAAGCCAAAGGTGACTCCCAGTGAGTAATAAGTAAGCATAGCATAAGGCTTTTTAGTCATTTTTGAACTTTCTTGTACACTTTTGAGCCTTATAAATTCTTGAAGATTTAGGCCAGAAATTGAAGTGGCATGGGGAACAATCATCCGACGCCGCCGAGACAGTGACTGGTAGGCTTAGGCTATGTCTGTGGTGATGGATTGGATCATCTGAGGTCCATGATAGACCTCTCTATCCCCGGATAGAGGTCCATTGTTGCGTCCTGGAGTTTTGCATTGTCATCTCTGAATCAATTTTATTTTCCCCCATTTCATTATTTTCGAATAAGGAAGTAAATAAAGCCAATGAGTCATCTCTATAAGCACGTGCTTTTGTTTACATCCGGTAATGTAAGGTCATGAGCATGCGCAGTTGATTTGTTTCGAAATTCAAAACACGAAAAGGTAGGTATGAATGGACCGCTGTAAAATTGTATGAGTTCCTCCCAAACTGCTATCGCTTGAAGTGTAATTTGTTATCATAAGATTTTTTAATGTCTGATAACAATTTTCAGCTTACAAAACACGCAAAAAGGTTAGCCATTGACTCGAAAAATACAGTTTCAAAGTTTGCAAAAATATTGATCCTTTTTCTGAATCATTGAATGGATTTGTAAGAAGTGAACGGTCAGTTTCTCAATAACACTTACACGTCGCACGAAACTGGGGACAATTAGCGTAACATTATGGCGTCAAAAAAACAAAACAAAACAATGAGCAGTATAGGGCGCAAACAGCCTTACAACGTCAAAAACGACAAGCGTCACATTTTTTACAAGTTTAGTCAACCTAAAAATAAAATACTTTATCCTTATCTAATCATTACAAAATTTACAGGGTAGCAAGATCTCGAGGACAATATTTCTAAAATGTTTTTGAATTTTGAAAAACGGTCAAGAAATCCACTTGGGGCGTTAGTAAAAATTGATATGTATGGAATTTGTGGTAAAAAATCGATGCGTCACATTTTTTCAAGTCTCGAAAACCAGCTCTTATTTTGATATAATTTGCAAAATAAACAAACTGGTTATTGTTTTGTAAATTTCGCCATGACAATATTGTGCAGTTAAATTTTCTTTCAAATCAGACCTAAATTAGAAGGTTAAATGAAGGTAAACTTATTGCTCGTCCCATTCGCCTTCAAAACCTTACACAATTTTGAAAATTTTAAAAGCGTTCGTATAAGATATAATATGAAATGTAGCCGTTAAGCAATTGTGACGTCATAAATGCATATGTTCTATTGAATAAATTGTGAAATTTAAGTGGGATTTTGATCATTATTTCAAAAGTTATCTCAATTTCAACGAGCCCTGTAAGCGTAAAGTGTTACGTCTTACAGCGTATTTGACGATGTCGGAGTATATTTATCTTTAAAAATGTGTTTGATCCCATCAAAATTTTGAAGGAAAAATAATTTCATTGAAATGCGAATAAAAAATACTTCAAAATGATATGTAAAACACATAGTTGGTTTTTTAAATAAGGCAGAGATTAACGTTCAAAGCTGAGATAAGCCCGCATTTCCCGAATTGTCCCCAGGTCCGTGCACGTCATAACTGGATTTCCATTGGCCAATTACTGAGTTTACTTAGAGAAGACAATGTAATGATATTTTCCTGAAAAAAGCAAGGAAATTAACACATGCCTTCATACTTTATTTTGTACCAGAAAATAACATGGGCATAGCATTTTTTTCAAAAATGTTTGGAAAGAAACCCACATCCCTATCTATTGCAAGACTTATACCTGGCACAACTGTCACCATGTTATTAAGTGTTTTTGAGTTTCGCAAGGACCCTGCCATGAGTTTCGCAAGGACCCTGGCATGACCGTGGTAGTGTTATTGTGAAAGCCTGGTATAACCATGACAATGCTATTATATTGCAAGGCCTGTCATGATCGTGGTAATGTTAAAGCCTGTGTGATAATGGTTGCAAGGCCTGTCATGACTGTGGTAATGTTAAAGGCTGATATGACCATGACAATGGTTGCAAGGTCTGTCACAACCGTGGTAATGCTAAAGCACGATATGACCGTGACGATGGTTATAAATGAGCCTCGCCATAGGAAAACCGGTCTTATCACAAAAATTTAAATTGTGCTACAGAGCCAAAAATGTGCCCAAGATTAAGGGGAAAATGTGCTAAATTCAAATCAGACTTTTTGGTCTATACTCTATACCTGCAAGTAAAAATTGTTAAGACACAAGCCATGACTCATTTGAAAGGTCTCTTTGTGCTTTTTAAGAAAAACAATAAATCAAAACATTTTTGAATCTACGATTTAAGATTCTTACTGCAGCTGAGGTTAGATAAAACTGCATGTTGTCAATTAATGCTTTGCGGACCAGCGATTGTCTGATATAACCGTATGCATGGTACACGATATGACCGCCATCGCAGTCTATTACTGGCAATCTCTTGCAGATATTCTGGCCCATTGATGAAGAAAAACAAAAAAACACGAAGACTAAAACTTCTCCAACCTACCCATATTCAAGGTCTTCTTTACAGGTTTATGGTCTGTAGCTAACAGACTGTCAGACAGAATAATATAAATATCACCAGGAAATCATTTAAAGGTTAGTGAGCATTTTTTCTGTCTATGTTTTACAGTTTCGGGGGGTTTTCTTTGTAGCTAATGAAAATAGATGTTAGCCTTGATGTAATTTGATGAAAGTATCTTTGATATATAACTTATATAGATACCGGTATGTAACTTCGATATATTTTGACACTAGGTCCATGATCGTTGGATACATCTCTGCGCTACTGACTCAACCTTTAACATTACCACGGTCATGACAGGCCTTGCAACCATTGTCACAGTCATATTAGGCTTTAACACTACCGTCATGACAGGCCTTGCAATATAATATTGTATTGTCACGGTCATATCAGGCTTTAACATTACCACGGTCATGACAGGCCTTGCAATACATGTATAATATAACATTGTCAAGGTTATTCCAGGATTTCACGATAACACATCCATGGTCATGGCAGGATCCTTGCGCAACTTAAAAACACTTAATAACATGGTGACGGTTGTGCTAGGCATAAGTCTTGTAACAGATAGGGTTTCGAATAACCTTAATAAGTAAGAAAAGGTCGGACCAAGGTCAGAGCAACCAACCAACCTATCATGGGCATTTAGACAAGATTATTTACAGGGAGCTGTTTACATATGTTCTATGTGTTAGTGATTTCTTGTTTCCAAACCATAACAAACACATTCTAATGCTTAGAATGCAACATATAACAATGTAGATTCTGTTTGTAGATTTTAAAAAATTTCCAGGGTTCCTTTTGGGGCTCGCTTGCGATTTTACGAGAAGATGTTTTCGTCTTTGGAAACTTAGGACATTTCTTTGGATCACAATAATTTTGCAACTAATGGAGGCAGTATGCTAATTTTTACACCATAATATGCAGGATTATAATCCAACCAAAGTCAGAAAAGAAAACATTAGGTTTTTCAGGCTGAGGCTAAAAAAAATTCCACCGAAAGATTGTTGAAGGGTTGAAGAATCGCAAATGTTGAAGTTCACATTTTATCAATTTTCAGTGATGTTTGGTTAGGGCTTATAATTTCTGCCAAGTCTACAAAAAATGTATGGTACCAATAAAAAATTTAGACCTTCCTCTGTGAAAATATGAAAGGATTCCTGCAGGTAATAATGGAAATATAGCCCGTTGCAACAGTTCACTTTTTTGGACCACCCTGTATATAGCATATTGTCCAAATGCCTTCGCGCCCTTTTGTAAGATATGGCATTATTCCACAGAACTTTATAAGGCTTATCAGGCCTGAATAATTGATATAAGTCACCTGTTCTAAATTAAGTGGTAGGATTTGGCTGGTTTTGGCTTATATGTAAGTTAATGGTGATCATTACACTGTTGTAGTTGTAATATTGAGCGGTGAACCCTCTGTGATGTAAAATACCTGAGTACATTAAAGTGTAAATGTGTGACTATGGACATATCATACTTGTCAATCTAATGGAAAAATATGGCATTTTTAAAAAACATTAATTTTAAAAGTGTTTGTTGATATCTTAAAAATTAAAAGTTGCTGGAAGATTATGATTATGAATAATAGTGTTCCAATTGTCGTATTCGTTGTTCCCTCTTCAAAAGAGGAAATGTGAAAGCTTTTCCTTTAAAGGTCAAAATATTTCCCATGATGCAGTTCCTGGAGTAACAAATTCATACTTCCTTGTTTTCCCCCATAGGTTTAACATGGGTATTTTCACACCTATTTTTCAATCAATATATTCGTTCGTTAATATTCCCGTATGGGAGTGCAGAAAAATTATCAGAAATGATTGATCTCTTATTTATCTCAATATAACAGATATTTTTTTATTTTTTGATTCATAGCGTGATGAAAATGATGATTGAAAAGTAGAAAAGGTCACGTGATCGCCAAAACGGTAAAAATAATTTCATTCGACTTTCAACACTTTCATTCCAATCTTACCGCACTATAAACTGCAACATGGATGCAACAACAGAATATAAATTTACTCATCTTCAAATTACATTATAGAGTTACGTTGAAAACCCACAAACAACTGAGCAGTTGACCAAAGAAGACGTGTCGCTATTATCTAGGTCAATCGGTTCAGTGTCCAAAAGCAAAGCTATAGTACTTGTTTCCGAATTTTATTGTTCATTGTACAAGCTTTTCTTGATTATACTCAGTATACTGACCATTAAAGCAATGACAAAGAACAAAATTGGTAATTAATTTGATTTTAGAACTTCGGGTCATGCAAATAGCATGACCATACTTTTACATCAGGATGAAAAACAGCCTAGAATTATTCCCCAAACCAAACCCGGTCCTTTACTACATCATAGGCGTAGCACTCGGTACGCACAAGCGTACCAGATGGCTGCAGATACACTCCAAATACAACCAAACTTCAAAATTTTCTGGAGAGGGGAGAACCCCGAGACCCCCCTGAACACTCGGTTTTTGCTTCGCTCAACTCATGTTCTCGTGTTGGCATACTACCCATAGAAATAGTGTTACGCCCATGTACATAATATGTAATGTCTTTTCTTTTTTTGCCTTTCTCAATGAGCCTAATATTAAGCTTTCCCCAGAGACAGGATGAAATAACTTGAATTTAAAGAGGAACCTAGATCTGCATGTAAAGTTGAACATAAGATATATCTTTAAATTATGGGCTATTTATTCTGCCCTCTTCCTAGAGTGAGAAGTTTTCAGGAATTCTTTTCACGTCATCAATCAAATAGCATGAATGCCTAATTTGATAAGTCTATTTTATTCTGTGTTCCAGTTGACTGTTACCTTATGTGATTTCCCTAAATCTGTGAGTTGATCAGTGACAACGCCTGGACAAGATGGCTTCTGTATACATGTTGTCTGGAGAATACCAAGATCAGATCGAACACATCCACAAACAACTACAACATAAACTAGGTATGATAGTTTAGAATAATTTTTAAGCTCGTAGACAGCTTTTGGCCAAGGGGATCACTTGAAAAGTGCTCAGAATGGTGAAAAACTGCTTAATATGAAAGAGTATTTGGCCAAGGCCCTCACTATGGGCCTGATTTATATCAATAACCCATACCATAGCACAGGGGATATTTATTGACATAGCCCAAAGCAGTTGACTTATATCTAAGTTGATCATAATTTGGTCATATCTATAAAAACACAATTAACATTGTCATGACGTATAAAATCCCATTGTCATCTTAAACGACCCAAATGGTTAGTCACTTTCGGATCATTCCAAGACAAGACTCGTAACATTACATCAAATTCAATATGACAACAGCAAATAAATTGAAGTTATTTTCAAAGGAAATATGGTGAATAACAGTAAAAGTTTAAGATAGATAGATTCCTGGATCTAGGATTTTGTCAAACTGAGTTGCTTTATAAAAAGCTCACATCTGAGCACTCTTCCTGTTTTTATACAGTACTGTACTTTGTTAAGCAGTTATGTCCCTATCATTGAATATATGCCTAAGGTCTGTCACCAATATAGCCCGAGCTTGCGAGGGTTATATTACGACAGACCGAAGGCATATATTCAATGATACGGACATAACTGTTGTATTACATACTTTTATATCATGGCTACGTTATATCAATGACGCCACGTGTCTGTGTGCGAGTGAAATTAGGAAGAAATGAAACATGACGTCCCGATGCCGTCATAAGATTGTCATGGTAAAAGGTTTGGCGGCTATACAGGAATATATAGCCGACCTTCAGCTCCATTGACTTCAATACAAATGCTTCGCTGGGTATGTAATACATGGTATTATTGCTCTTTTGCAGTTGGGAATCATGTACTAATTGGGTCACATTCACAGAACATTGGTTGTCTGAATGTCAAGACTATTACAGAGGTATACCTCCAGTTACACAACCAGTACAAGTTGTATCGCAATGAACGGGAAACCATGCTTAATCAGGAGGATCAACTCATTATAGTACAGCTCTGCATGGCTGAAAGAAATAAGAAGGTAGCGTACTTAATGAACGCCTTAAATGGAATCCTTAAATGCCACTTTACATTGTCAATTCAGCAAAAGTCATTCGAAATTCCCAATATTGTTAATTCTGATTTTTAAATAATATGTTTGCAACAAAAGTTAAGTGAAATAAAGCTCTCTTAAAAATGTCTTATTTCAGTGCAGCTTTGTGAGTTTGATGGGAAGTATGAGTACTTCAAATCATTGTTTGACATTTTTTATTAAGGAATTTGGATCATTTGAAGTCGATGTCAGTGCAGTGCTTGAAGCCCATACAAAGTTGACCAAACACATGCTTAATCCTACTGAATATGAACTGTCTGATGACCTGAGGCCTGTTAGTGACTTATATGCAAGTTTCATGAAGGAATGTAATATGTTAGACTGGTACACATTGTTCAGCAGAGTAAAAAAAGCCATGGAAAGTGATGAGAAACTCAAAGAAAATCTTGCCTCTATGAGTGTCTTAGCATGTGGAATCCCCCGAAGTGAAATTGAGGTACAGTTTTTACCATTTTAAAGTCAAATAGAAACACAGGCAATAATGAAAATAAGTAAAAAATAGTTTGTGCTTTGCAAAAAGTAAAGTGAGATATGTTACTAATCAAAAAAGGGAGAAAAAATCGTACATAGATTGTTTCCAGTTGATTTCAGATGAGGTCTAAGATTGTTATATGTATGTTTGCTGGCTAAATTCGTTGGCTTGTGTCTTCAGAAAGCAATGTTTCTACATCTATGCACTGATAAGGCATGTGAAGCTGTAGAGGTAGAGACACCCTTGGATGGCTCAGCCAGTGATGTTAAAGTTAACTTATTGCCTACTTCATTGATAGAGGGACTGGAGAAAGATGTAAACGCAAACTCAGCCACCCACCCTCAGTCAGTCACAGAGGTAAATCATGCACAGAGATTAGATCTTGGGGAGGGATTGTATACTGGGCATATCGATGAATAATATAAAATTGGATAGCGTTGTAACATCACACCTGTATGGATGGTGATATCAATTTGAAAATATAAAAATACAATCTAAAAAAATCTTTTCCTGAAAAGATGTATCTGTTAAATGCAAGTAAATCCATATCATTTAGGAGGAATCATCAATCACCTGAGGCAACTAGTGTTGAATTTCTGATAACATTTTACAGATTTATGCAACAAGTGTGTTCCTGGCATACATCCATCTGCTGGTGAATTCTCGGAGTGAGTTGTCTCTTGCCAGAGCTGTAAATGTCCCTGATAGGGGAATCGACCATGCTGCCTTCACAGACCTTAAGAGGGTATCTAAGCAGAAAAATATGCCAATGTATCAGGTATGTTATATTTAGAAAGATGAGATTTTATGACTTCATGAAGGCATTATGCTAGTGTTGCCATTCAAAACTGAGGTAGTGCGTCTTTAGGAGGGGGGGGGGTATATATTTACATGGGGTAGGGATACCTTACTGGCCTTTCATGGATATTGGTGTTGTTCACATCATTAGAGGGCATCCTGAATATTTTCATTTTGAATAATAGCATCCATTTATCGTGATGTGTACTTGTATATTAATCATCTGTAATAGAAAAGATGGATGCTAAAATGTAGATAACATATATGGAAATAGAGACATTGACGACATCTGTTATATAGCATTTTGTGTGTACTTTTATTCTTTTTGTGTTTTTAAACCAAGGCCTAAATAAATGTATATAGAACATTGCTCTCCCCAGGATTTTTTCTCAAGTGTATGCAAAATTCTTATTTTTTATTTATCATTTTTCATGATTTTATTCTCATTTTTCAAGTGGGTGCAAAATGATTCTCAGGTGGGTGTCACAGGGTCGGGTTCTTTATACCTTAGCTGATGTTAATAATATGAAAACTTTGGTTGTTTTTGAATTAAAATTAAAAATCTATTTCAAAGTTAATAAACATATTTACAAATTTACAGTTTACGATGGAATTTTCCAAATAAAATTCTACCTTTAACTTTCCTTATCTTAACACTAATCTAATTAACTTTTCTAATAACTAACTTAACTCACTTCCAATAAACAATAGTTTTCAAATTAAATTTTAATATACTCAACAAGAAGTATATTTGCACTACTGTATATAATTGTAACCGCTCACTATTGTCATTAGTAAAGCCTGCTGTCGTCAATAAAATGTAATTTTATGATAATTTAATTATATCACCATATTTTGAAGATCCACTGTTGTTATTGTACGAAACACCTGCAGTCTAATAACTCTGCACACTGGTCTGCATCAGCGATAATAATCTGGCACGTACACAATTATAGTTATAGTTACATTGTCATAGATGCACAAACACTCGCAGTTTGTAGCTCCTGCACACTGGTTCACACTATCGATATATAAACGGATATGTACACGTCTTGTCTGTAGTTACGTCAAATGTTCATTTTACAGATACACAATTCTTACGGTACGAGTAGCTCCTGGACTCTTGCAATAATGTCATATTCACATCACAGATTTTAATCACACGTATAATTGTCCTCGTCAGTAAGAACAATAGCACGTTAATATACACACTTGTTTCACTTTTCGTAACGATTATTAGTTCTTCATCAGTTAGTAAAAGTTGACACTATTGTCACAATTTTCACAAGTTTCACTATCACTATGCAATCACATAAGTTCATAACTGTTGTAGAATATCTCATATTCTAGTTAACTTTCATTTCACATATCTCAAATGATGCATAATTCACTAAATATATATCAAAAATATCACATTCCACATTTGTGCTTTTCTCACTCTCTAAAACTAGTTTACTTCTACCTTTTCCCTACATGTCTACTCTATATCACATATATATGGCTTGTTCCCAGTTCCTACACTTAAAATTACAGTGCTAATTTTGACCTAATTTGGTAATAAGTGAATGTAAGAATTTGTAGGAAAGGCCAGGGTAATTAAAAATTTGAGGTATATTAGGCTAAACCAATTTAATAAGGTAGTATTTGTGACATTACCCCCTTGTTTGAGAATATAGTATATATTCTTTAAAATATAAGTACATAGTATGTAATTTATGTTAGTGTGAGTAATACTATATGAGTATATGTAGTATGTAACTAAGTTCTTTTATGGTTATATTAGACATTTCTACTCAGAAAATCTGCTCCAAAGTTATCTGCTCCTTTAATGACTTCAATTGTGTAATCATATTGCTGTAGAAATAAGGCCCATCTTGTTAGTCTGGCATTTGTCAATTTAGCTTTTTCCAGATAAGCTAATGGTTTGTGATCTGTTTGTATTTTGAATTTGGTGCCATGTAAATATTCTTGAAATCTGTTGATTCCCCAAACTACTGCCATACATTCACGTTCTACAGTCGAGTAATTTTGTTCACGAGGTGAGAGTTTCTTGCTTGCTGTTGAGACAATGTGCAATAAATTATCATGCTCTTGTAATAATATTGCACCAATTCCCACATCAGAGGCATCTGTTCGCAGGACAAATTGTTTGTCGAAATCCGGTAGTTTCATGATTGTTGTTATTGTAGTTTCGAATTAGTACACCATTCTTCCACTTAAAGAAGTAGGAACAGTTGTTCTTGGTTGTTTTGACATCTTTTGAGTCAGCTAGCTTTCTCACCTTTTCTAAGGTTATATCATTTTTCTGCTGATCTTTAAATTCACCATTTGATATTCCAGTTACAATGCATTTTGGTACTTTTAATTTTCTTTTGGGTTTACCTTCTTGTTTTGCTTGTTCTCTTGTCTGTACTGCAGCTAGTACAATTTCTTTGTCATCAACCTTTTGTGGCTTGATCTTGTTTGTTTCATTATTGTTGTGATTATTTTCCCCAACATTATTTGGTTCTTCTTTGATGATCATATTTTGGGTATTTTGATCATTTACTTTGCTGGGTTTAATTTTCTCGTGTTCTTCTGCGTTTTCTTTATTAGTTGTACTGCTCAAGGTAGCACCAGGAATTTCACCAATGATTAATTCACAAATTGGATTTTCAATACAAATGGCTTCTGTAGTTCCAGTGAAAAATGGAGTTTCTACATATATTTCGGCCACATCTGCTGTTCTCATGGTTCTATCAATCATGATATATTTCTTCTGCTTTCCTGTGAACTGTTTTTTTGTCACAAGGCTTGTTTTCACTACTACTCCGCTACATCCTGTGTCGCGAAGTACATTCACTCTCTTATTTCCCATAAATCCGATTTCTATAGGAAGTTTGGATATCTTTCCTTGTTTATAATCGCAGCTGCAGGATGAACCAACGACTGCTACATTACATCCACATGACAGTATTATACTTTTACCTGGCTTTATTTCACAGTTATGTTCTCTAATATGACAGGATGCAGTTGAAATACTATCATCATCACTGCACTCATTCTCAGATGAAGGGTTTTCATCTGATTCATATAAAAGCCCAGCTGCATTTGTTGGTTTCTTTATTCGGTTTTTAGAACAGTCTTTGGCCATATGCCCTTCTTGAAAACATATATAGCATACTCTGCCGGTTCTTTCTTCTGTTTTCTTTTGGTCAGTTTGATCTTTTGTCTCGTTTTCTTTAGTGTGTTTCCAATTTTCTTTCCCATTGTTTTTGTATCTTTCAGATCTGAATTTATTTCCTGTGGAATAGTCATCTTTTAGTGAGTGTATACCTCTAGCTTTGGTGTATCTATCTGCTTGTTCTGTGATGTCCCATCGTGTAGTTATGTTGTGTTCTCTAATAAAGGTAGATAACGGCTTTCCACATGAGTTTAAAAATTGCTCTCTAACAATAAGGTCAGTGATGCCTTCTATGGTTTTGGGTACTTCTGCGAGTTCTATCCATCTATTAAAATAGTTATCTATTCTCGCCATATACTGAATAGCGCTTTCTCCTTTTTCTGGCTCAGAAGAATAAAATCTCTTTTTGAACCCATATTCTGTCATTTCATAACGCTTTAAAAGGGCTATTTTCAGTGTTTGGTAACAGGAACATGCAGTCTCTGGTAGTCTGGTATACACTTCAAGTGCTTTTCCTTTTAATAAGGCACTCAAATACATGGCATAATTTTCTTCCTTCCATTCTTGAGTTTTTGCGTATCTTTCAAATCTAAGTAGATAAGCATCAATATTGTCAGTTGTCTCATCAAAGAACGGTAACTTTGGAATTTTTGGTATTTGTTGACTCTCTCTGGTAGTGGTTGGTCTTTCTATATTACTTTGTTCTGCTCTGTTGATGCTTTCTAGTTTGATTTTTTCTAAATCTATTTGAAGCATCAACTCTTCTTTTCTTTGAGCTCCTAATTCAATGTTTTTCTTGTGTTCTCTTTCATATATTCTATCTTGTCTTTCTTGACATTTTTCTAATCGATCGCGCTCGGCAAAAATGAACTTTTCTAGTTTCTCGCCTGTATAGCCTAACTTTTCTCCCAATTCCATACATTTCTCCAGGTCTGATTTTTCTGATACGTTATTGTCTGTCATATCCATTTCCTGTTTTTCTTCCATTTTTCAGTAGTAAGGAAGAAAGTTAAAATACGCGTAAATTTTTAAACATGTATAATGTATAACTTGTGCGATCGCGATGTAGGTGTAATTGTAGGTAGCGTGTACTGGATAAGAGGTTTAATAGGTGTAATTTTAGGTAGCGTGTACTGGATAAGAGATTTAATAAAAAGTATATTCAATTTTGTATTGATAAATTGATTTGATTTACTGTATTGGCAGTTTTTTGTTTTGTTTTTTTTATAACTTGGCACTATCTACTTTATTTAATGTAACTTTCTAACTTAACTCTTAAGCTAATTTAACTTCTAACTATAAGCAAGCTACTTTAACTTTATAACATGCTTATTTGAAATAAAGTAACATCTAAGTTAAGTAATGGCTATGGACGAGCCCCCATTGTCACAGGGTCGGGTTCTTTATACCTTAGCTGATGTTAATAATATGAAAACTTTGGTTGTTTTTGAATTAAAATTAAAAATCTATTTCAAAGTTAATAAACATATTTACAAATTTACAGTTTACGATGGAATTTTCCAAATAAAATTCTACCTTTAACTTTCCTTATCTTAACACTAATCTAATTAACTTTTCTAATAACTAACTTAACTCACTTCCAATAAACAATAGTTTTCAAATTAAATTTTAATATACTCAACAAGAAGTATATTTGCACTACTGTATATAATTGTAACCGCTCACTATTGTCATTAGTAAAGCCTGCTGTCGTCAATAAAATGTAATTTTATGATAATTTAATTATATCACCATATTTTGAAGATCCACTGTTGTTATTGTACGAAACACCTGCAGTCTAATAACTCTGCACACTGGTCTGCATCAGCGATAATAATCTGGCACGTACACAATTATAGTTATAGTTACATTGTCATAGATGCACAAACACTCGCAGTTTGTAGCTCCTGCACACTGGTTCACACTATCGATATATAAACGGATATGTACACGTCTTGTCTGTAGTTACGTCAAATGTTCATTTTACAGATACACAATTCTTACGGTACGAGTAGCTCCTGGACTCTTGCAATAATGTCATATTCACATCACAGATTTTAATCACACGTATAATTGTCCTCGTCAGTAAGAACAATAGCACGTTAATATACACACTTGTTTCACTTTTCGTAACGATTATTAGTTCTTCATCAGTTAGTAAAAGTTGACACTATTGTCACAATTTTCACAAGTTTCACTATCACTATGCAATCACATAAGTTCATAACTGTTGTAGAATATCTCATATTCTAGTTAACTTTCATTTCACATATCTCAAATGATGCATAATTCACTAAATATATATCAAAAATATCACATTCCACATTTGTGCTTTTCTCACTCTCTAAAACTAGTTTACTTCTACCTTTTCCCTACATGTCTACTCTATATCACATATATATGGCTTGTTCCCAGTTCCTACACTTAAAATTACAGTGCTAATTTTGACCTAATTTGGTAATAAGTGAATGTAAGAATTTGTAGGAAAGGCCAGGGTAATTAAAAATTTGAGGTATATTAGGCTAAACCAATTTAATAAGGTAGTATTTGTGACAGTGGGTGTAAGCATATTTTTAGAATCTCAAGTGGGTGTAGTACCCACTTGCTTTAATACTGGGTAGATCACAGTCACTGCAGTGTTGCAGTGTTTACTTTCTTTTCAAAACTAGTGAAACATGAGTAGCTTAAATACAATTAAAATTTGTAAAAGAGATTTCTTTCTTGAAATCTATTTTTTGATCAGTGTTAACAATAATTCAGTAACTTCTAAACATTACATGTTTTATTGAATGTAAATAATGAAACATTCCATTTATAATCTTCAGATACACCTACATGTAAATCTTAAAACCCGGTCATGGTTAACAGAACTGGGGCATAAAACTTGTTCAATTCAGATGATATTTTTTTAAGAAAAATCAGTAGCTGGCTGGTCCTTTTGAAACCATTGTGTTAGAAACCAAATGATATTTCCAAATCTGAGTTGCATGTCATTTATTTCATCAATGATTTATTGTTCCAGACTGCAGCCTCTTATATCATGAGGATTCGCCTTGGTGGTAAAAGTTACGCCCCTGACGTTAACTGTCCATTGAGGAACCATGTGAAAGGACTTGGGGAATTCACTGACTTCCTTCATAAGCTGCAATGTATCGTTGAAGAGAACCCAAATACAAGGTCAGTCACTGTGGTTTAGATTGGTAATCATTTAAGTTGGTGACATATTTATCAATAGCAACCATTATTTATTTACAGTTATTATGTCACCACCACAATAAAGTGGTGACATATTGTTATGTCTTTTTGTGAATGGTGTATGGCAGTTAGTGTTCAGCAGTCAGTGTTTGTAACAAATGACAGGTGGTGCCATTTTGCCTTGATTATAATTATTTACATCTTTATGCTTGTGTTTGTCACTTCAATAAGGTGCATTATATTATGAAATAGAATTACTAGTTTGTAACTATTGATGCCGAGAACATATTAATTGATGTGATATAATAAAGCAAACAACTCATATCAGTTGATGCTCATGAATAGCTATGTTGTAACATCGCAATTACAATGAGAAAAGGTATTAGATCACCTGTTAGTAATTCAATTGTAAGTGAACATTCAATAGGTGACTCATCCATCCTTAATGAAATGGGAATCCTATGATAAAGATTTGGTCCCATGGCCCATAAGTGTAAACTGTACTCTACCATAAGTGTTATGAAGAAATGTTATTTACCTATTACAAAAAATTGGAAAAATCCAATTATACATGTTAAGTTTGACTGAATTTTTAGTAATTTTACCCATGGAAGAACACAGGGATATTTTTCAGACAAAAATGAAATTAGTGATAACTGTTCTATTGTTATTAAAGGGGCAACAAGGACTGTAGAGGAAATAGGAATTTTTTTTTCGTTTTTTCTGAGCTATCAAGGCAACATTTGGTTTAACATCTTCTTTGACATACATATTTTCTTAAAATGTATGGATAAATTATCAATTTCAGCATTAAGAAGTGTAAATTCAGTTCAAAGTTTCAAAAAGGGGACTTCCACTTTTATATTTTTAAGATCCACCATGTTTCAAGAGGAATATCAGCTAAAATAAGGTTTATCTAGGGGGTTTCTTTGTAGATAATAAAAATAGATGTTAGTCTTGATGAAATATCCAAACTTAAATATATTTTGACACTGGTCCATGATCGTTGAATGACCCCTCTGCACTAATTATTGCACCTTTAAAAAAACTCATAACTAAACCAATGCCATTTTATCACTTAACATTTCAATTATAAAATTTGATGTTAACTAAATAAAATATTTCAAAGCAGCCAAGAAGTTATTGTAGCATTAGTGCAAAGCATTTGGATTGGTTTAATGAAATTATTTAGCCGCGTATTTTGCAATAACAACAAAATTTGTGTCACTTTGAAAGCAATTTGCAGGGATGATTCCTCTTGGGAGGAAGCCAATGTTATTGATTATAGATATTAAAATATTATGTTTCATTTGATCTGACATCATTATCCAATGCCACTTGTATTCACCTTGGCCTTTTGTAAAGCCCAAAGATCAATAATTTATACTGGTCTGACTGGGCATATATAAAACAATATGTTTAGTGACGTTAGTGTAGACAAATGCAATGCATCAACTACAGAGTGCTCTTGATTTTTGAGTCAAAATATGTGTAACATAATAAGATGGACCAATTTAAAGACCATGTGTTTCTGCATGTGGTAGCGAACCAAGGGATGATCAAAATCTATAATTACTATATAATATTATTAGTGTTATGGCTCGACATGTTTGTAAAACAGGGTTATCAAACAGTAATTCTGTAACTGAATCAATGTACAATCAATGTATCAGGTTGTATTTACAAGTTATTTTAAAGGATGCTGCCCAATTACCAACTTGTGGAATAATGAAGTTGTTTATGTGAGGGGAGGGTGGTTAATGATGGTTTCGTTAGTGAAAAGTGTTGATTCTTTTTTTTATTTAAAATTTTAAAATTTAGATGAGGGGAGAGTGAGGATCAACCTTAAGAAATTAACTTTTTATTTTAATTTTTTTTTTATTTCAAAGAAAAAACATGTTAAAGCAATTGCAAAAAACAATTACAATACAGTTTCAATAGAAACAAAATTAACTTCATTCTTTTATAATTCTTGATAATTTGACACCATCCCTTGCAAGTTACGCAATTGATAATAAAACTCTGACATGCTACGACTAATCATAGTTCTACCAGAGACTTCCTCTAACATATGCAACTGATTTTTTCACTGCATCCAAGAATTTGAAAAATGACTATGCTGCGGCGTTAAGAATTTAAAAATCATAAAAACATGATATTTTGAATAGTCTAAGTAATGTCTCAATCAGAAATTCAAGGTGGGAAAAATTCTATGGAGAACACTTGTCTTCTATTAATCTTAAAGCTAAATATGATTGCCACACATAAATATTTGTAATTTATTGATGTCAACTTAATAACAACTTAATTAAACTTGATTAACTATTGCATTTCAATATTTACAGACAATACACTTCAATTTATTGGGCTTTTGAATGAATCAAGGAGTATAAGAAATTTTGTGATATTTGCTCAAATGGGCATATTGATCCTCTCCCAAAGTATCACTTCCAGTTATTGCACCCTATGCAAACTGTGCAATACGAAAATAATTGGTGCGAATTGTTGTCATGCGATGCAGACTTTAACCATTATTTTTTAAAATTTGAATTGAATCCAAAATATTTGTATAGTTTCTATAGTTTTGAATTTAGCGCAGAAAATGGTTTGACAAATTATAGCCTTGTCTGATTGAACTGCCGGACAAGGCCAATAAAAATAATCTTTTACTCAGTTTGAGTAAATACTTGAGATTTTGAATTATATGTGGCTTTAATTTAAAACATAGCGGCAAAGTTTGTACCAAAAATCATTGGATTATGAGCATAGTAGTGATGATATCATTGGAAATTATAATGAAAATATGACTTCAAGGTGATCCCAAGGAAACTTCACGAAACCCAGAAAAATAGGACACAATGGAAAACTTGATGTAAAACTTCTTGAAGTTTTTTTGAAATTTCAAAATCAAGGTGAAAAACTAAATGTACTGAACATTTGCCCAAAGGATTTTGATAATTACCATAGGATAAATATGATATCCTCTGATTTTCACGGGCTATCATTTTTATCCACTCATTGATTGATATTGCCCATCTCCACTCATTCACTGTGCTAAATGAGTGATATGCCCTCATGGATAAAAATAATATCCCTCAAAAATCATAGGATATCCACCATATGTGTAAATTGTGTTAATAGGTGTTTGGTTTAGATGACATATCGATAAAAAGGGTTTTTGCATCTTGAAAGTCATAAAGATAGGAATATTTATTGGATATGTGCTACCCCTATACAATTGGTGCTGATGAACTCAATCCACACCGATTGGTAGGGGTAGCACATACTGCCAAATTATTAAATTGATAAAGGTGAAACATTTCACTGACTCTGACAATAGCCATTCATCTATTGTAAGGTATAGAATGCATATTATATTATATACTGTGTTCTGATTTGTAAAAATGTGATATATCATGCCTTACTTTGTGTGAATACCAGATTTGAAAAATGCTATAATCTGGTTCAAGCTGCATGCTGTTGGAATACTCCAGATGAAGATAAATTAATAAATCACTTTGGAGAGAAAATTTCTAAAAATATGTACATTTATTCAATGATTGTCATTTGATCCATGAATATTGCCTGTTCTTTAATGACATGTGACCCAGTTTTGACCAATCACACAATGGAAAGATTGACAGTGATATAATAGAATATCAGATCGTTTTGAGGGATATCATTTTAATTGAAGAGTTAAGATCAAATATCAACACAAATCACAAACAGAATGGGTGTTGATACTTGATATCTACGAGGCAATGAAATGATATCACTCAAAATGATATGATATTGGGTTTATCCCATGATGACAATCAATACATTAAAAAATTTAAAAAAATCAAATTGTTTATCATATGGATGTACTGCTGAAATGTCTCATGACAGATTTGTCACATTGGTCTATTAATGCATGTAGGTACTATAGTATTGTATTGTATTGTACTATAGTACTAAGGTCTATTTTGATTATTCCCAGAATGAAATTAAATTTTATAGGTTAAATAGATATTTTAGTGAATACGTAATACACTTGTATAATATATGATGTTAAACTGTTTCATCCTGCTTAGGTTATCATAAGGTATTGTTGCTATTTACTCTGTTGTGATGTGATATGAAATATACATCATCAATATTGACCAATCAAATTGCCTATAAACTCATAGACATGGAATAAAGAATCCATATTACACACTTTCTTCTGGATCCGATTGTTTTGGATCTAAGGAGTCATTTTCTGTATTTGATCATTGAATGGCTGGTAATATATAATTTCTATGTTATTCAGGAATTTTTCAGTAAAAGAAGATGTCTGTTATATACATAAATGTATTTATTTATTTGCCTGTCCCGGTCTCTGAAGTACTACTTTGTTCATCATTTGTATCCTCCCTGCCACAGCGCAGCATCTTTTTATAGGCGGTTCTCATCTGAGTATTCAATGTAACATATATGATAGGGTTCAGAGCGGGAGGTAGTCGAAATAGAGCTCCAGATATAATTTGAATTGTAGCTTTTGAGCCATCGTCAGCCAAGACGCGTAACACCAGAGGTAAGATGTAACATATAAAGAATAGTCCACATATTGCAGCGGTTGTTCTTGTTAATATGTTATCTGTTTTTGCCTGTTTTGTGTCCTTGCTGGACTTCTTCATAACGGTTACCTTGCTCTGTGACTTTCTGACCTTCACGAGGATGTGTATGTAGCAATATATCGCAACTGGGATAACTGGTGCCCCTAGTGCGATAAGGATCATATCAATTAGTGAATCGTTTCGTTCATTGACCATTGAACAACTGTAGAATGTTGCATCATAGTGGAATCGTGGATCTAGAAATGACGGGAGGAGACACAGTATTGGTAAGGTCCACGCAAAAATCAACATCCCCGTATGGAGTGGTTTGCTGTGCATCCAAAGGCCTTTTGTTGGATGTACAACTTTCATGTATCGGGTTAATGCCACAAATAAAATGCACTCTGTGGCAGATATCAAAAACCATTGTTTTCCATAGAATTCAAATGTACATGCTGCATCACCTGGGGAACTTGATGTCAACAGGATGAATACTTTAATCGGAACCATCATCGATACAAGTCCCAAGTCTGCTATTGCTTGATTGGCGATAAGAATGTAAGCAAATTGTGTCCGGAACTTTTCCTCATAGAAAACTATTGAAATCGTCATGACATTACCAAATACTGAAACAAATCAATGATGAATCAATATTTAGTTATTTCTGAAAGAGATCAAAGATATGAAAATAATTGTTGTCAGAATTTAAAAAGAGGTGAGGCATTAATTTCTATAAATTAACATGAATCCTAAAGGATTGGTATCGATATGGCGAACTGAATTCAACTTCGTCTTTCTTTTAAACCAATTATTGAAAACATTATGTAAAAAACACGGTTCTTTATGTAATGGTCACTGATTGACAACAATTTAATATGAAAATTATTTATTATTTATGTATATGTATTTCATATAACTGTTTTTGTTAGAATTTTTTAATTTTTTAGTGCAATTATTTTTTGTTCCCTACTAATTCTTGAGAATGAAATGAAACATCTATCCCAACCTCATTGGAATAAATAGACATTCGGTATACACACCATGTTTTGGTCTCTCAATATTGTAATGTTACAAAGGAAAGTTTCATTTCATAAAAAGTATTCAAAATATTTTTTTTTTAAAAATAGATAACATTTTATTTCAGATACTTTTATGAACCAAACTTTCCTTTGCACAATTACAATATTGAGAGACCTAAACACATTGAAAATATGTAATTTTGTTCCAATGAGGTTGGGATAGATGTTCCATTTCATTCCGAACATTATGATACCAAGAACAAAAGAAGTGTCTGATGTGTCTTCTAAAACACAGTTGAATCACTTTCACAGTTGGGTCACCTGCCCTATGCCTGGCTATACTTGAATATGACCTTTTACATGTAGACTTACAAAATAATATTTTTTTACAAATAATATACACACACAAAGTAAAGTAAAAATAGTTAATAGAAACAGATTCAAGGGTTGCTTTTGAATTAGAGGTGAATTAAAAGTAATTAAGATTTGAATGTAAAAAACAACTTAACTTACCACCAAGTAAAATCTCCACAATATAAATAACTGAAATAGCGTAAAGCACAGAGGACGCCACAACTTCAGGTGTTTCTGTTAAGTTACTCATTTTGATTTTCTTCTCGATCTGATACTTCTTTTTTGCTTATTTAGTATTGCTCATCTGCTTCATTTGTTATTCATTACTTGTATTGTTCTGTTGATTGAATTCAATTGTCATGCTATCCTGGTAATTATTTTTTGTAATAGTTCTTTTTGCTACCTTGCGTCTAATTAATGATGCTATTACTGTAGCAAGGATCTTATTGAGATACTAAATGGATTATACCTCATCTTGATTGGTACATTGATCTTTAATATCTGGGCTGTTGTGATATGGTTGTCATAGCTTCAATACCGACACCTTGAAAGTTTCCAGTATTCTAACACTAATGGCATCTTTGTTTGTTCCAGTGGCTAACTGACCAAGAACTTTATTGATTGGATATGACGGCATTGAATATCAATCATTGTTTTATTTCAGTATGTTGTTTTAAGTGTGGCTAATTTCAAGTGACAGTTTTGTCCGTGATTTCTATGTATATAATAGGAGCATAATGTGTATAGTGTGATAATTGAAATTTGCCGCCTGTTAACAATAGCTGCTTCATTAATAGTTGAACCTTATGCAATGCCACATCTGCCTTATTAAAGAGTTTTAATGGAATAATTGGCACAATATCTAAAATAAAATTAATGTGGGTTTAGTTCTTTGTACTTCAAATAAATTATGAAAATATGTAGTTTGTTTTCGTTCTTGAACTAGAATGAACTTTTTTTCAGATTTTCTTGGAAAAGGATATACAGTGTACTGATAAATAACAAAATGTGTGAAAATTGGTATAAACTTAAGACAAATATAGGGTCACATGACACGGGGCAGTCAATTTTGACTGCTACATGTAATGGTCACGTGACTAACACAATGCAGGAAAATGGGGAATTTCGAAACTACAATTTTTGGGCATTTTTGTAAAGGAGTGGTATCGATATGGTGAACATTTTGAACACACATTTTTCTTAAACCAGTCATCAAATAATTCTGAAAAATTTACACATCGATTTGATGGTCATCTTTTGGATGGTAACATTATAATTTGAAATATATATAATACACTTTTCTCTATATTGTTTTAGAAAAAACACATCAGACACTTCTTTTGTTCTTGGTACCATATGTTCGGAATGAAATGAAACATCTATCCGAACCTTATTGGAACAAAACAACATAAACACAACATGTTTAGGTCTATCAATATTGTAATTGTATAAAGGAAAGTTTGGTTGATTTTAAAAACTATCTTATTAATGAAATGAAAGGTTTATATTAATTTTTTAACTATTTTGGGGAGTTTTGTTTTAATTTCTTTGCATACTTTTTGTATTCCAAAATTTCCTTTGTATAACTATAATATTGAGAGGTCTAAAAAATGTTGTATATGTTACTCTGTTCCAACAAGATTCGGAAAGACATTTTATTTCATTCTGAGGAATTGGTAGAAAGGAACAAAAAACAATTGCACTAAAAAACAAAAAACGTTAACAGAAACAGTTATATAAAATATATATAAATAATTTTGCATTAAATTGTTGTCAATCAGTTAACATTACATAAAGGATCATGTTTTTTAAAGAATGTTTTCAGTTATTGGTTTAAGAGAAAAACATTATTGAATATAGTTCTCCATATCGATACCTATTTTTTCAGGTATTTATAAAGTGGTATAAAATATAATCCACAGACATAAATGAACATCCAAACTACATATTTTATTAAGTAATGGGGCGATTTTAGCTCTTAATTTTACATCTTTAAACATTTTCTAAAACCCAGTGCTCTAGCTGATTGCGCCTTGCGGCTTTTGATAAACTAGATGAAATTTGTCAATTCAAGAAGTATTGATGTTTTATTCAGTTTTTGTTGTTTTTTGTCATTAGAGATGTGCGAAATGACTGTGCAATGAACACTGAAGTTCTACCTTAATGGACACATTAAAGTAGAACTCATTATGAAAATGTTGGGCTGTCATTTTTTCATTGGGAGGAAACCAATGTTATTGATTATAGATATTAAAATATTATGTTTCATTTGATCTGACATCATTATCCAATGACACTTGTATTCACCTTGGCCTTTTGCAAAGCCCAAAGATCAATAATTTATACTGGTCTGACTGGGCATATATAAAATAATATGTTTAGTGACGTAAGTGTAGACAAATGCAATGCATGAACTACAGAGTGCTGTTGATTTTTGAGTCAACCTCATACATTGTATTGTATTGCATTAAATTGCATTGTATTATATTGCATTGCATTGCATTGTATGATGTTGTATTATATTATGATGTCGCAACCATGAAAGGATCGCTATTAAACCAAACTGTAAGTGCTTATGCAGGTTAGAATATAAACCTTGTAAACTGTTTCTGGTTGTATTTCAATATGTTTAATGATATTGCACAAAATATTTTGCTTAGTATGAAAAGAATTGGAAGCTAGTTTTTGAAATTGGGCTTAAATCCTTTAATAATTGATTAAAATTCATAAAAAGATGGACAATTAAAGACCATGTGTTTCTGCATGTCCAATTACCAACTTGTGGAATAATGAAATTGTTTATGTGAGGGGAGGGTGGTTAATGATGGTTTCGTTAGTGAATAGTGTTGATTCTTTTTTTATTTAAAATTTTAAAATTTAGATGAGGGGAGAGTGAGGATCAACCTTACAAAATTAACTTTTTATTTTAAATTTTTTTTTATTTCAAAGAAAAAACATGTTAAAGCAATTGCAAAAAACAATTACAATACAGTTTCGATAGAAACGAAATTAACTTCATTCTTTTATAATTCTTGATAATTCGACACCATCATAGTTCTACCAGAGACTTCCTCTAACATTGATGTTTTATTCAGTTTTTGTTTTTTGGCATTAGAGATGTGCGAAATGACTGCACAATGAGCACTGAAGTTCTACCTAATGGACACATTAAGGTAGAACTCATTATGAAAATGTTGGGCTGTCATTTTTTTTCATTCTGATCTATTTCAAACTTGAGATAGAAATTTTAAATATTCAGTTTTGCCATAGCATTAAAGGTGCAATAGCTGGAAGTCGGAAATAATTCCTAAGAAAAACTACAAAATAAATTGTTGGTGCCTCAAACCTGCCCCGAAGAATGGCTACGACCTGAACTTACTTTTGTAAAATACCGGAGCCTGAAAAAAATCACTCACCTAGACATCGACGAAAGAAGTTTCAGTTTCGTTCGACTGCGAAATTGAGCAAAATTGAAGCTGAGCTAAACGGTTTTGGTTTGACGTAAAATTGACCTCATTTAACTACGCCATCTGGCAAATGAATCATTGTTTTTGTGTCATATGATTCGTTGTTTTGTGTCACGTGACCTACCTTTAGACCTTTTGCCACCTATCGTAAATTAATCTAATTAAAATAAAATGAGACACATTGGAACTTTGGATTAATAGCCATTCAACCAAGCCACAAAAAGTATGTATATTAGTTGTTCAACATGTTCAATTGTATTAATATTTCCGGGCACTCAACCTTTAAATCGAACTGTTCTGAAATTATCTAATTATGTACTCTTTGGGAATAAAAAGTGCTTAACTAATCTTAATATTTTTGGCATTTGCCCTATTAGACCATATATTGACTTGGAGTAGAAACATGTGTACATATTGAGAGCATATTTACATATGTATGGACATGTATGCTCAGTGACTCCTATTTATGTCCTATTTTGGAGTTAATTACACATTAACTAATGCATTATGGAAAATTGATAGGTAATCCTTGGTGAAATTGACCAATTAAGACAACAATTTTCTTTCTTATTGGAAACCGGAGCTTTCTGTTTCCCTAACATTGGTTTTCTGGATCGGTGTTCAAATAGTGTCACTCAGCATCTAACAGCCTCTTAGTAGTACATGTGTGTTGTATTTATAGTTTAATTGCATTTGATAAGAAGGAATATCCAATATGGCCCTTGATTGAAAATGGCTACCATTTCTCATAAAATATATTCTTTGATAACTCAAATACCAGTTGCCTGATTGTTTCTATCATGAAATGTTCAAAATGATGAGTGATTTGAAGTGTGATTTGTTTGTTGGGAGTTGCTGCTTTTCTAGCTGGACTTAGTTACTTAGTATTGGTAATTCTATACCTCAGGATGTTATTACATTAGCTATTGTTGCTATTATTCATGTCCATGTTGCATCACATACTTAACTCTCAATACTTATTGATGAATTTAGGAACTTGTGACTATTAAGGGCCACAGAAGTATAACACAGTTCAAGTTTGATTACACTCACAATGGCAGAGCTTGGCTATGATTGGTTTGATTCAACTAATAATCTACATTTATAAAACATGATTTAATACAAAATATAATGAATATTAACATTCAATTCAAATCACTTAAGTATGTGGCATGTCACTATCATCAAAATGTATTTCTTTTTGATTTAACTTTAGCTTTTCTTTTTTATTTAATTTTAATAAAAAGTGGTGTTTTATGTAATTTTTGGGTAAATTCTTCTTTTTTTCTTTATTAAATTTCATTACGATAATTGATATATTCAAATTCTGTTATTTTACTTAAGCCTGTGACATGTGTTGCTATCAATGATATTTAATGTGCTATATTTTGATGACAATATAACTGGTTATCATGACCATGCGATATATATTGAAAATATTGCTTATATTTTTAACCCAAAATACAGCACATAGAGTGTATCAATATCCCAGATGCGAGTAGAAATAATCTTGATTTACGTCATTAAAAATTCACAATTCAGTCAAACTGATGTCATATTTGGAATCTACATGTAAAATTACAATTAGAAATGTGGTTTTGAAAAGAGTTTAACAACTTTGAAAATTTAATTTTCTTTGAAAATGTGACTTCTATGTCGGGGAGATTCCATGTTGTAAAACCACAAAAAGTGTGTCGGGGAGATTCCCCATAGACTCCATGTTGTAAAACCACAAAAAGTGAAATATCTTTTCTTGTGTTGGGCAGATAATATTTTCTTTTACTGGACATATTTTAATTTGTATAACTGTCAGATACATAAAGGTAATATGAAAAGTGAACCACTAAAATTGATGCATATTCAAGTTTAAGGGAATTTTGTAATACCCTGCCATGTTAATTCCCCCGAATCAGCCACCTGGTGACGAAACTGGTAACTACCTACTCGCATCTGAGTAATTACATTGATACTTTTTAATCTATATAAAAAATAAGTTTGCGCTCAGTCGCCAAAAAGAAGATGTTAGATATGATATTACCCATGAAATGAAATACTTTTACCATGCATATATGATTTATCTAATTTTTGTATCCTCCAACACACAGCTTTAATCAACATTGTTGATATGATGCATCATTTGTTGAAAGCTTCACCAGAAGATGTGCTTAAGGAATACCCTACAACAAAGAAAACATCAGACAAAATATTGTTTTCATTTTTGTGGTGAATGTTGGTTGTGCTATCTTGTATATTGTATTCTCCAAACATTTAGATTTCAGATATGCAGATATCTGATTTCAAATTATTATTTTGAGAAATGAAACTAATCCAATGTAGTATTTAAATGATTGTTAGAAATATTCTCAATTATAAATAATTTGTTAGTGAATTGCATGTGTTAAGCATGTGTTGGAGGATACAAATCATTTGGATATAATAAAACACATTCTATTTTATCAGAAAGAAAGATCAAACAATCCCCTTTTTGGGAGCTGCTCGCAAAAATACTTTATTAACATGTTGGGAATTATCAAAGGACTTGATATATTTTATGGTATGCTGTCCAAGTTTACTTAAGCTAGTGACTCTTGTCCACAACTTAAATTTTTAGCTCCAGATCTTGTGCGGATACTTTTGTGTCCAGAAGAACACAGAGCTAGGATTCAAAACTACAAAATATGGTATTTCACATAAATATTTAAGCCCTGGGTGTCAAATGGAAAAGATCAAAAAACATGACACAACAAGAATGAAGAACACATTAAGTGAACACATGAATAAACAACAAAGACAACAAAATCTGATTCAACAGACTTTCTAATATAATACTGATTATGTGAGATGTCTGTTGAAACATGATCATATCTTTGAACTCAAATCTCAAATATTTGCAATAGGCTACACATAAATATTATAAGAAGACATTGAAACCTCAGAACTATAAAATGTTGGTGCCTTCAAGCTTGTTTCAATATGCTTATTTAAGATGTTGCTGGAATGAAGAACATATATGTTTGTTTAACTAGTCCATTTATAGAGGAAATGTGCCTTCAAAGTGCCATTACTAAAAGCTTATACATGTACAGAACTGTAACCTTAGGGAGAATTGGATCTATAGGGAGTGACAAAATTTCAAGCAATTTGTACAGTTGACCTACCAATTTATGCCTTACAATCTCAAGTACAGTATAATATCTTCGGGCAAAGTGCAAAAATGAGGGGAAAATACTTAAATTCCAAAATGCATTTAATGGAAATGGTAAACATTAAGATAGAAAAATAAATGCATGATTGTAAAAATCTTTAGTTTTACTTAAATAAAGTTTATGCACTTTGTGGAGTTTTAGAAAATAGACATGGCAAAGAATGATATGAACCAAAAATATATGTTTGCCATCTCATTTAGTCTACTTATCAATATGATAGAGGAAACTTAGCGTCTTTGAAGTGTCATTGTTCAAAGCTCAGCTCATCCTTGTGTCTAATCCAGTATTTTATCAAATGAGAATCTCACTATGTCAAATAATAGCTCCTCTTAATTGCGCCCCCCCCCACCCCATCCAACTCTAGGGTTATGTGTACACTAAGCACAACGTGATAACAAACATAAAACCCAATTTTTTGTATTTTCAGTGCTGCGGTGAGGAAAGTAATTAACAACATTAAGATTGTTATCCTAAAAAGTAGAGATACAGGACTAAGAGCAGTTAGTGTAGAAAATGTAGCCAACTGGTTGATGAAAGTAGCCCAGGACTTGATTGATGAAACATTATCCAAAACAGATGGTAGCAGTCCCAGTAGGGTACGGTTTCCACTATTTTATCTTTATGTCTTTAATATTTTATTTATGATGCCATACAGGTCAAGGTGATAATTAATTAGGACTCGAATTCACAGAATAAAAGTTCAATTATCACTTATATCTTTTCCTATTTATTTAAATAGTATTACATTTATGTAACAAAAAGCAAAATCTATAAGAATTGGCACTTATTTTTGTTGATTTGTCCATTGCAATCCTGATCATTGAATATTTTCCATAGGATCAATGTCAAGGTCAATTAACATAATATCGGAAGAATGGTCAATGTTTATGTAATGCTTTTTCTGAGACTGTAGTTTTATGTACAGACTATTAAATGACTATCATTGAATTGTTGAATTGCTTGAGCATACATTGAATGATTAAAATAAATAGATAAAAAAGAAGAACTTGATACATTTAAAGAGAAAACTTAATCAACAATCAATACTGGATGTTTACTATATATAAACATTTACATACTACCACAATAACAATGTCAAGACAAACATGGGACATGAACCTATATATTCTCAATATATCTATGATATATAAAGCATATCATTTCATCAATTTTTTTATTTTCTATTACAAAACATTTTTGTAGCTTTTAATGTGGATTTTGATTTAGGATTTATTTATTAATGGAAATGCAATACTACAAGACAATTCGTTTCATATATGATTTTTATTACACTTTTAGTGCTGATATTGTAATGTACGAATATGAGATGAAAAAAGATCTGATTAGGTTTTGGACATGCTGGTTAAAATACATGGCAGCCATGTCCAATTTTTTGATGAAAAGTGCAACATATATCACTATGTGACTTGTTTGATTACACCTGTCACCTGTTGGTTGAAAATGAAACTTTCCTTGAAAATTCATCGTATCTTATGTATATTTGCAGGCTGTTAGTGAGGGAGGGAGTACAGTTGGAAGAAAAACTCTCAACATTCTTCGCTTTATCATCAATCAAGCATCCTCCCAGCCAGATACTTCCAACCATGTTAGCCTTCTAACTGATCACTTCTCAAGCCAGAAAACTCCAGTGCGTTTCCCATCTCTCATGTCAAAATTCAGGTGAGTTGTGAATATTTTGTTGATAGGTTGAAGTTGAACAACATTATATGCCAGGGTGTATTTAACAAGTTTTAACAATTATATGGAAGTAAATAATTGGTGTTTTTAGTATTTTTGAAATTATGATAATTCATGGGTCTTGAGCAGTTGAGTTAGTTTGTTCTATAACCAGTGGGACCCTTGGCAATATGCCTGAGTATTGTAACTCGTGGGATTTTGGGAATTGAGTAATTTGCATGATTTTCAGTCTGAGATCGAATAAGATTCGCGATTTTTTTATCAAACATTAAACAAGAAAAATCTTACCATTGCATGTCGTACAGTTATTTTTTAGTCCTGTTTTGAATATTGTTCACCCCACAATGGCCTAGGTACCTTATCTACCAATTCAGAGCAGATACTTACGATGTTATAGAGGGACATGGGGTATAAATAGGAGGCAGACAAATGGAACAGCCAAAATAATTGTATTTTTGATATTTTCACAAATCTGGTCAATTTTCTCATATTTTTTATTGATTGAGAAGATGTATTGGTTCCAATTTTGTTATGTGTATATTTCAATGTTTTTAAGTTTATATTCTGCAGTTAGATTTCAACTTCATCATTTAGTTGGATTGTGATAGGACATTTTAAAACACTGATAACATTTTTCAAATTTAAAAGTCCTCAAGATTAGCCAATCAAAATCAAGTATTTAGCAATGCTGTTAATTAAACTTACTAATCCTGACTATCTGTGCCATGTTAAAGTGTGGATGTAACCTGATATTTTAATGAGAGTTACTAGCAACTTTCAAACCGGCCTTCAAGAGTATATTTGCTTCTCTCAGCATCAATAATTTTGAGTTTCACTGACATGGCAGTTTTTTTCATTTCTGGTTCTACGGACTGAACAAATAAAAAACTAAAAAGTAAACTCAAAAATATTTCGTTTAAATTAGAATACAAATTCGTGAATCTCAGACTCGTGAAATAATTCACGAAATCTTAACTCCTTATTGAGACGAATTCTATTATTCTTTGGCGAGCTGATTTGATGACTACATGAGTGCTTATCTACACCACTAATTATAGGGGACCTTATGGGGATGATTTACTGTAATGGCATACATATCCACACTTAGAAATTATTACCTGTTTTATAATTTCTCCATTTTGTGAAGGTTATGAAAATGAACCCATTAAGAACCTATTAGACATGGACTCAGTATGATAGAATTTGACAAAAGAGACAATTTGTGTGAAAAATTAATGAATATTGTAATATTATTTCCATCAATGCAACAATTCAGTTGGTATATCCCAGTCCTTTAATAAAATATCTTAAATTATTCATGAGTTTCAAATCAGGTTTTTCCATTAATGCAACACTTCTAAATTACTTCCTCTTTGTAATCAGTCACATACGAATTATTTTGTATTGTCACAATAAAATCAGGCCTCTGAAAGTACTTGTACATTCTATGTATTATGTCCCCTTGTATGCACACTTTGAAGGAATTTGGAGAACCATTTATACTGGATTTATCCTTGGTCCCACACTAAATAATGCACTAAATAATACAGTGCACATATAGAGAAAACTGCAAATGAACATGTTGATTTATAGTGTAAACTAGCCTAACTGTTTCACTTTTACTGCATGGCAGTGATCCAAAATAAACAAAAAACTGAAGATAGTGATTGGGTATAATATCTTTTTACGTATCGAAAATGTGAATGAACCTATACACTGTTTGGTTTGATTCATACAATTCAAAAGTGTAAACGATTTTTTGTAGAGCAGACTAAATTCTGAGAAAGTGACTCTTAAAAAAAAAAATCTAAAAAATAGAATCTATTGTGTGTTTGAATAAAGTGCTATTCTCACATTGCATTAACAGCGGAGAAATACTTTTGAAATGATTTCAGATTTTGTATTGTTGATTCATCAGTATTCAGGGTTATATTATATTTCACCTTCAAATGTAGTTCATTATATTACAGCTGTAATCGAGTATTCTATGACAATGAAAAATTCAATAAAAGTAATGTTAAAAAATTCAAACGGTTCATGAGCACATATTACTCCTCTGAGATTATTTAGCTTTCAGATCTCCATCTCAGCTTTGGTCATTAAATCACATATGTATAATACAGTATATATATAATACAGTATATGTATAATACAGTATATATATAATACAGTATATGTATAATACAGTATATATATAATACAGTATATGTATAATACAGTAAATATGCAATTAGTTTAATGTAAACATAATAGTTTATCATGAGTAAAAAAGTTTTGTGAATTGTTTTTCAAATTTTAAAAAGAACAATTTTGATATTTTTACATTGGAATGTATAGTTCAAGTGTATTATATTATCCCACCCAACAAATTTTGACTAGTGATTTAGAGAAGCCATCCATCCATCTATCAGTTTACCTGTCTATCTGTTCCAATTGTTTATCCATTCGGATTTTCAGGTGATAACTCAATCATCAGTTGATTAATTATTTGGTCCATGTGCAGTATGGCAAGTGATTTTAGACAGTCATAACTCTCACCATGGGTACTTTCTGGCCATCAATACAGTTGTTTTCATGAAAACAATATGCTTTCTTTCAAGTGAAGTCCCCATTATAATAAAAATATCAAATCCAACTCTCTGAAAAATTATGGATTAGTACCCCACCTTGGCACTTTTTTACGAAGGCCCCCCACGAAGTGGGTGGAGCCATTTGTTCTATGGACCGACTGTTGACCAGTCACGTGACCAAAAGTCCGCCATTATTACCTTATATGGCAAATCATCAAAGCAACGATCACAACGTCATATGTTGTGTTTGTGATGAAGATATGACGTAATATAACATAAACTATGACATCAGTTACTTATTGCCCTACCAACTAAACAGACAAGAAAGCTAAACGTCACACATCACAGTGTTTATTATATTTTAATTTGTGACGTCATTAATATGTTACCTAGCCAACAGAAAACAAGCAGTAAAATGTAGTTTGTTCATTGTCTTTCTCTGTGGTATTTCCATAAAAAGTGGATCAGTTTTGTCAAAATAGCATTTTGGCATTCATATTTTTCTAGTGTCATTTTCACTTGATTATCTTGTTGAAAATGTTAGGGTCATTTTCTAAAAAGAGGATCTTGTTTTTCTCAATTTAAACATATCCAAAGTTTCTTCTACACTATATTAACATTTTCTGAAAAGGGGATGCGTATTGAAATGCGTTAAGTTAAAAACCACATATCCCATGTTATTCCCCCATAGGGAAAACTCGTGCTATCCATTGTTTTCAGCATAACTTTGGTCATTGAAAATTGATATTTTCAAAACTAGCCTTTCAATACCATCCTACTTTTGAAGAAGTTTTAGACCCCTTGATGAATAATCTTTTCATGCAATAAAAACCAGAAAAAGAAGATCCTCTTTTGAGTAAATAGGTTCAACATTTTGAAAAAAAATTTGTTGCCTTATTTCAAAATGGTCGCCATTTTTGTCTTGCGAAATTTACTTGTGGCCCATTTCTTAGCTTTACAAATAATTTCATGCATTGTAAAAAGCCATGTCACTCTAAAGAGTAGTTGTAATGAAATAATTTTGTCACAAAAAATCGTCAGAAAATACATCCATTTTTTCAGCTATTTTAGCCATCATTCACTTTTGAGCAACAACATGTGAGCCCAGTACCCATGGTACTAATTATTGCATTCTGACAATGATCTGCCTTTCAGAAGTTTCTGACATAGTGTTAGAGCAAAAGAAACTTTTGATGATAGTAAAAATGTGAAATTGAAGGTCTTCATTTTAGAAAGTGAGTCTTAACATAAACGAAGTCCTTTAAATTTGTCCTTTAAAAATAGAAATTGTGTTTTACATGTCTATTTACTTGAATATCAATCAAATTAGGTGAAAAAGGTCAGCAATTTTTGTTGAACATTATGTGGAAAAATTGCCATTGTGTGAGATAAATCAGAATACAGTTGTAAAACAGTTGCGATATGTCATCTCTTTTATTATGTCGCAGATCACCAGAGGCTGATGCTGAATCTCCAGAACATGCAGAGAATAAGTCCCTCTTGGACCGAGCAGTCAGTAATGTTTTATCTGGCTCTTGTGATGAGAAGGCACAGGGATTGCCTAGGTTCAAGTCTTGCATGGACTGGGCGAAACCTCTTCATGATGTAGGCATTAGGAGTACCACCGGTGATGATATATACCCGCTACAAAGTGATACCTTCATACAATGGTAAATAAATACTACATTATTAGTATGGTTCACTGATAAGCTTCTTTAGTTTTTTGTATTGGATGTTCATTGTGATGTTGTAGCTACAGGCGTGGGGGGGCAAATTTCAAGTCTGAAAAAAATCTTTCCATGCTTGCCTGGAAAACATTTTGGGCCCCAAACTCAAAAATTGGGCCCAACGTTTGAAAATTTAAAGTCTATTTTGTTGATAATTTGGCCTCAAATTAAAAGATAAGGTCCAAAAGGGCCTAGTAATGAACAAATATGTCAACTAGGCTAATTGCTATTGCATTTCAGTGTGACACATTTTGCATAATAAAACCACATCAATATCATCTCTTTTTTTTCATGTTTACATTCATGTAATTGATGCGCTTAATGATACTTTTATTGACCACCGGATCAATCAATGTCTTTCCTGCTTCACCAAAATCAAATATGTTAGGTGGTAAAAATACAGCACTAACATGAACTGAAAATACTTATACTGAAATCAAACTGTTTGATCTTATCTTTGAAATTCTGCTTTTGCATCACATCAGTAAGTTTCAAAATTAATAATTTTTCCCTAATAATTTACTCTAGAGTTGACTACAGTGTGATGTATGGATATTTGTGACACATATTCCCAATATTATAACCAAGTGTTTAGAGATTTAGCTAAACATTGAATACATTGAATAAGTTAAAGCTAGAATCACTGAATCGGAGATATGATTGATACAATAGTTTTGGTATTAAAAAGATCCTGTTTTAAAAATTTGTTTTTCTAAACACTTGATTCATAAGTTGTCACTGATATTATGCTAATCATAAATGTTTTATTTGAAATGAAAAATCAGAGATGGCACATTTCAATAAACTAAAGAATTGATATCAATATGAAGATATTTTGAAATAATATCATTCTAATGTCATGTCAAATAATCAGATAATCTTAAGTTTCAAATCCGAAGAGAGTGAATTCATAGATTTAAATAATTTAGTCCTCATGAAAAATAAATCTGAGATCGAAGAAGAATTCACACATTTTAATTTCCTCACCAAGAAGTGGTCACATGCTATAGTCATCAGTTTTAGTTTGCTGTCAGCGTCTATGTTTGCTGTCTTTACTAAATGGTTACAGTTTTGGAATTACAACCAGGTAGTAAAAGTCATGTAGTGAAAGTCATGCAGTGAAAGTTAAAGTCATTTAGTGAAAGTCATGTAGTGAATGCCTTATTATGTGATCTAATGAAAGCAATGTTTCTAGAATAATATGCAACAACAATTACAATTTGTAATTTGATGATATTATTTCAGTAAGACTGTGGTCCACTCTGGAGACAACTCCTCCATGTCCAAAAAAGCAAAGAGAGTGTTAGAGTCCCTACATGACCAAGAGAACCAGGAGACGTCAACTGAGAATGCAATCACTGAGAAAACAAATAACGATGCTACAGCCAGTTCTGTAAATAATATAAACAAAGATAATGGTGCTCCTATTCGAAGTAAATCAAACAATGCAGGAAAGTCAGACAATGCAGGAAAGGGCAAAAGAAAATTGCCTGCATCATCTAGTCAGCCAGCGAAGAAGGTGAAAAAATCAGCGACATCAAAATCATCAAAACTCAAGGATAAACCATTGCTGAAGGGACAACAAGTAATGACACAGTTTTTCAGATTATGATTAGTTTTGGAAATGACTACATCTGATGTAAAGTATAGGTTTATTCAAGTTGTAATGACAGTGAACTCATGTCTTAGTATTATTACATAGGAAAATGATCTACAGTACTTGTATGTTTTTATTATGTATATTTATGTAAATTGTTTTATTTGCAGTGGACTACTTATTGTGAATCAACATTTACTTAATGTGTTAAGGTGCTTATTTTTTTGTGAAGCCACTCAGTAAAATTACGATTTCTCTGCTCCCTGATGTCCAATCAACATCATTCGAGTATCTATGTGTTTAGATTTCAGTCATGAATTACGTCAATTTCGCGTGCAAACTTTGGGTAGACATTGTTATTCCCGGATGCCCAAACGTGTCATAAACACATAGGTACTCGAATGATGTTGATTGGACATCAAGTTGCAGAGAAATCTTAATTTTACTTAATGGCTTCACGTAAAAAAAAGGCGATACAATTTTAATTTTTTGTTTTTGTGTGAACTCTTTCATTTGCATAAAGTGAACTGTATGAATGAATAGCTCTGTTGATTGCCCATTTTATACAATTTTATGTCTTCTGAGTCTAATTTATTCATTTTCGGCTTCACTCAAAAATGTTTGGTGTGATAATGGAGAATTATACTCATTATAGACACATTGCATTTAACATAGAAACCCTATCACTGAGAGAATTTAATGTTGCAAACAAATGGTATAATAATTCAATGCACATCTGAGCTCCACCCAGCTTATGCCTTGGTCACATTTGCACTGATTTTCACTACGGCGCCCGGCTGATTAAGTATGTTGTTCAAAATTGAATGCAGTATTGAACAAAACACTCAATCGGGCTGGCGCCGGCCAATGGATTAGAACAAATGTGACCAGGACATATGCAGCAATGCTTACAGAAAACCCTTGGTGCAGCACCTCCTGCTCGGGTGGGCTATTATATGTATAGTCATTGAAATTGTATACTTATTTTAATTTAATAATCATTAATTGGACTTTTAAAAATATTATATTCTACTCACATATCAAATATGATTTTTGAGGTGTAGGTTTTTAATTCACAATCTATTGTGGGTTAACAAAGCGAGAGTGACTGATATCATATTTTCAAGCAGATGAAAATATTAATATCATGTATAAATTCATTATATAAATAATAATTATGCAATATGGTGATTCATTTTAATATTGTTTTAGTATAGATTGTAATTTTATCATTATTTATATTTTATGGAATGTTACCTAAGATGGGTGGTATTATACAAAATAAACATAATATATTATTGAAAAATAAACATTTTTATTATTTATAACTAAGCGAGAACAGATCATTATACATAATTGTTAAAAGTTGTTTTAAATCAAGGAGCATTACTGGGAATTATCACTACATACATGTGCATATGTACAGTATACACATAATCACAAACACAAGCAATGATTACATTATAACACATGTGTATAAATAAGATGTACAGTGGTATTTTACTCATACTTCAAAGGTATGCATTTTGTGGTTCCCTCACTGTTGTAGTATTTTGAGTTTTTTCATCAAGAGATTTTATTGCCATTAATCATTATAAGTACATATCATACATGAGGGACCCAATTGCCAGTGGCATTATAGGTGTCCCTATATAGTATTTTGAGTAAATTAATTATAGTAAATGTGACAAGTTTGTTTACTTCTTAATGGCACTCTTAAGTAAATGCAATTGTTCCTACTACCTCAATAAACAAGGCTGCTAGAAATCAGCCATAAATGTAAAATGTCAGTTACCACCTGCCAATTGTAACAGATGACAACCACCGAATACTGAACAACACCAACTGCTGAACACTGAACAACGTATTGATTTTCTTAACAGTACATCAATACAGATCTTTAAACAATAACATTGTCATGGTATATATTACATAAAGATAGACTATATATTACATAAAGATAAGACTTATTGTGTATACACAGTCCTGTAAATGCCTTTAATGTAAATTTTTACAGATCTTATTTTCAGATCACATATTATATAACAAATACTAATTCCAATATTTGGAAAGTAATTCATAAAGAGAAAAACGAAATGTGTCTCGTAATTTGTAAAGATCAGTCAGAGACTGGAATGATATTGGAATGTATAAATGTTTCAACTAAATTGAATTCCTTTCATATCACCTTGAAATACAAAACTAAAAACGTGATCTACATCAAAGCTGAATTAGCTTTCATGTCATTTGATAATGCTGCTTTTAGAAATAGTCGTTGTTTATGTATATTTAGTGAGGTTTATTGTGCAATGTTGTTTGCCTTATATGCAGCCATGACTGTAAAAAGTAGGAGTGGGACGGGTAACTAAAATACTGAAAAACTGCGGTTCAGAACCGGTTTTCAGTTCGCTACCCTACTATCAGTTCAGCTTTCGGTTCGTTTTTGGCTCAATATTTGATCTACAAGTATCAAGAAAACACTGTATTACAGTGATTGTCAACATTTTTGATATTTCCCTACCTTGTCTGCTGTCTGCTTAATGCATTCAAAAATCAATATAGCATCAGAATCACACATTCCCATTTTCCCAAAAGAAATGAAGATCATTGCAGCCCCAATGAAGTTGAAATCAGTCGTTTGGGCTGGGTACTAAAAGCAGTCAATCATAACATATCGCTAAATTGAATGAACCAAATCGAAAAAACTGAACTGACAGCATTTTAACCAAAAATCCATACCAAACCGTCCCATCCCTAGGAAAAAGCCAAGTTGTACATCAGTCTTACAACTACAGTGGTACCATTAAAATGCAAAACTTGCACCAATCCTCTACTATCCCACAACATTTTCTAGTTTTCAGTCAAAGAGATTCGGGAGTAAACAGAAGCTTGACAAACTCACTGTTGGAAATCAGTGCAATTGGTTCATCGCTAATTCCTCTTAATAACACTGTTTTATAATATCCTTTAGAAGAGTATACACGTAGAGTTAGTGACGGTGTAAAAGGGTAGGAGGTCCTATCAAATTATGGTCCTACTCTCCATTGATTTATATGGTGACCTTAATACAACTCTTTCCCTCATTATCGTAAACACAATCAGGGCCAGTAAGGGCCATTAAGAAAGGGGACCATAATCCCTGGGGGACCATCATTTCTTTCACAACGGGACAATTAACTTATGTTGCAGAAGTCTGCTCTGACACTTGCTCATAATCTGATGAAGAAATGACAACATTTCCACTTGTTTCACAAGGCTTGAAACATGGGACCATCTGACAATTTGCCACCATTCTTTTTAAAGCAGAACTACTCTTCATTTCATTTGATACTTGCTCTAAACTTCGATTTTTTGTCTCTGGGACAAAAGAAAATATAAAACATGTTGCGATAAAGCAGACAAAAGCGTAGCCAGTGAACAACCAGCCTATACCTATTGTTTTTATCAGGTTTAGAAATGTCATTGAAATAACAAGATTTGTTCCCCAGTTAAACACAGTTGTCATGGCAATTGCACGTCCTTTGATTGATGCAGGGAATATCTCACTTAGTACTAGCCATGACACTGGTCCAAATCCCATTGCATATGAAGCCACATAGACCATGAGTGCAAACAATGCAGCCCATTTTGCCGTGGCAACAGCAAAATCAGTGTTCAGGTCAAATGGCAATACAGTTGTGGGTCCAGCCCCCTTCTTGGTTGAATCACTCTCATCTGGGTCTTGAGTTGTGTGATAGAGTTCACTAGAGTTGTTTACAGATCTTCTATAAAGTTTAGCTTGATCTGCTGTCTTTAGTGAATCATCGGGGAAGTCTATAATCAATGAACTTCCATTTGATGTTCTATTTACTGCGATTACTGAATTTCTGTTACAATCTTTCACTTGCATGTCTTGTGGCAGGGATTGCGTGAGAACAGCTAGTAACAATATACTGAACATCATCCCCAAAGCGCCACCTATCAAGAATTTTCTTCTTCCAGCCTTGTCAACAGAAAGCAATGACACTATTGTAGATATGACCTGCAATTAGTAAGAGCAAATTAATATTACAACCTAAAATAATTATATGGACTGAATCTAGTCATTTGTAATAATTAATTAATTAATTGTAATACTTAATTCAATATAACCAGTGAATAGATTTTAAATAGTTATTTTTCAGACGGTCAGGATTTGTTTTCAATAATATGGCTAACAGTGAAAAATGTCCAAATAGTAAAGTGTAAAAAGTTAAGTTTACCTTTACTGTTCCCAGGCCAACTGTTGCTAGGGTAGCAGCTGAACTGTTGTGGAAACCTAATGATAGGAATATAGTGGGAGCATAGTACAACACATTAGGTTGCCCTGTGAACTGAAACCAATCAAAAAAAGCAATTGTCACATTCAGTACAGAATCCAACAATAGGTGGCAAGTTAATTGTCTTCCTCTGATGCATGAGATTCAGTTTATCTATACTGGATTCTTTCTGGTGCTGCCATCTTTATATCGGCCCAGAACATATGAATCTTAATATACTTTATGTAACAATATAATAGAAGTTCTTGGGAATACATTTTGACATGAGTTTAAATATACTTTGTAGAACACATAGTACACAACACCAGTCAGCCAAATATTAAGAATCAGCTATCTAGGTACCAGTATATGTTATATACTGCATTCTCTGTGATTAGCATTAATTTTTACAATAATGATATGGTAATGGATTGTTATTGGATCATTTAAATCGCTAAATAGAAATCCCAGGAGGACTTGGTTTCTTTAAGAAATTGAATCTTTTTCTGATGCATTTGTTAATAATTCAGGTCATTACTCGTATATTTCTTGAACTTTGGGAAGTGGGTTGGGCGCTCATAAGGGGCTGGGCGCTAAATATGGTATGGTAGTCTTATTACCTGCTGAAAAAAGATGATGCCTGTTCCAATGAACATTCTACCTCTCATGTTATCAGCTGAACTAAACAGGTCAAACAGGCTGTGGCTCTGAAATACAATGAACTTGATCATTTATTCATACAATTTTGATCATGCTATACTTGTTATAAAGTCTGAATCACAATCAATGGCTCTGAAATACAATCAAGTCAAAAGTTTATACAATTATGGTCATGCTGTAGATGTAATGACACAGAACATACTTCCACAATCCATCCATTATACACTTTGATACAAACTTCTCTTTAGTACTTTTCTATAAACCACAAAGTGTGAAAACGATTGTACAAAAAGTATATGCACCTCTCATGATTTATACATGTCATGTGACTAAAATAAGCTTAACATTTATTTTCTGGGGTATTCTGAGTTGAACATTTTAGTCTCACCAAAAACCTCACCAGCTTCTTTTTAAAAATACTATCTCAATTAACCTGAAGGTAAATTATTATTTGTATGAACAAAGAAACAATCTACAAAAATTACTGATGAATATCATATACCTGCTCTGCGGCAATTGAGATTCTCATGCCATTTAACTCTCGATCCACTGAATTACTACAGCGTAACTTCTGGAGCACTGTCCTAGCCTGTAATGAGAAACAGTTTCCAAATATGTGGATTAAAGTTGTTAGCATATCAAAATGGGACTGAAAACAAGTGTTCAAATTGATAGGTGTTCAGAATAAAGTAGTATTCAGATATATACAGGTTAAACTGTACTTAGTGATTGTGCTACTTTAAAACATATTGTGCTATATGGTGTTCTATTGTATTGCCTGCCTGAACTTACCTTTTGTTCCTGTTTCTTTAGCATAAGAAATCGTGGACTTTGTGGCAGAAAAATCATCCCTATTCCTTGTATGGCCGCTGCAACTGCAGATAGGCCAAACATGTACCTCCTAAGAATGATAAACAGTGGTAAAGAGTACAATGGGGTGTGTCAAAATGAATATAGATTAAGAGCACTTTCATGAATTATTTTCAATGAATGCAGCATGGATTTACTGAGTAATTATGTAAACTACTCAATAAAACTCCCAAAATTACTTACAGCCTATTACTGCAACAAACAAAGCTAGTAGTCTTGCCTGAACTGGGGATTTAACATGAATCCACTGCGAACACACAGCTGAGCTATATGGGTGGACAATGTGACTTTGATCCACAGCAATTGCAAAATGACCATAGTATAAACTTAAGTTAATGAACATTCCTTACCAGCCATTCTCTGTATTGATAAAGAGGTAGTTGACCAGGTATGCCAGTAGGAGGCCTAGAGTTATGCCTAACTCATTCAGAGAGACTAGTAAACCTCTTCTACGCTGTAACAAAAACATTTGCTCCTTCATATAATCATACAAGAACACAAATGTGTACAAAATGTCCCCACCAATGGGTGATCCCGTCAAATGGTTATCCTGAAAATGAGTAGACAAGACTTTACCGACACAATTTGAGGACGGAAAATCCAAAATGGCCACCTTAAAATTTACCCACAATGTCCAAAAATTAGCTAGTTCGAGATTTTCATACTAAGAACCACCCCTGAAAATTCTAAATTGATCTACCAAACAGTTCACCTAAAAACGCTTAGACAAGACTTTATAGGCAAGATTTTAAGACAGAAAATGCAAAATGATCGCCTTGACATTTATCCAGAATGCCAAAAAACTAATCAGATCTAGAAATTCATACTTAAAACCATCCCTGAAAATGTGAAATTGATCTACCAAACGGTTCACCTGGAAATGCGTAGACAAGATTTTAGGACGAAAAAATCCAAAATGGCCGACAATAAAAAAGTGATTATGAGTTTTTGCTGATTTCTTTTAACAAAATTATCACATATAACTACTGTTAACAATAACATAGGCTTTTACAACAAAGTACACCTGAAATTATTTTTAAAGCTACTAAATATTTAAAGTATGAAAACTCAAAAACATCATTCAATATGATACAAAGTATTATCGCACGCTAACTTTCCTTAAAACATTCAAAATGGCTGACATGACTGAGCTAACAGGTCCAAAATTTAATCAGATGTAGAATGAAGTGAGCTGAACAAGATATTAAAGTTTTAAAAGCAACTGTGAAGCTGTTTTTCTTAAAGTTTGCAGACAAGGATTTTAGCATTCGACTTCAAAATGGCCGACAGGAAGTAGGTATCGAGTTAAATGTTATTCATCCACATCTGTATGCACTCATAAGTTATCCCTGAAAATTTGAAGGTGATATCTGTAGCGGTATTGAAGAAAACTACCGGACGTACGGACGTACGGACGGACAGACAGACAACCAGACGGACGCGCCTAGGCCGACAATATGGCCCCACACTATGTGGTGGGGAAATAAAAACCCAAGTACAAAAATAACATATTATGGTCTGCTGTTAATGCAAAAATAAGGTGCAAGGCTAATGTTCATGAGATATTTTCCAGTCTGTGAAGAAACAAGACAAAATCCATTCAATGACATTTACTAAAAAAGAAATACATGACTGCTTTGCATTACATGAGCACTATGGGAGAAAATTGGTATCAGTATTTATATTTGTTGCAATTATTTTTCATTACATAATTTGTACACATAACATAATTGACGACATGTCCAATTATGTCATAAATTAAGGCTGAATGAGGTAGGTATGATACTTTGTACTTCTTATGAATGCATTTCCATCGTTTTAGATGAAAAATATGTTTCTGTAAAATTTTGTTGAGGCAATTGCCCCGTCTGGCTTATGTCTTACTGTACCCGTGTTCCAATGAGGAAGTTTTACTGGGTGTACTGGGTGCACTTACAGCAGGTGCTATCTCCGATATGTAAACACATTCTGCAATGGCTGACAATGACACTGCAAAGCCCACTAGGATTCTCCCTACAATCTGAAGATAAGAGATTGAAGAGCATGTTGGATATGTATAGGATAGGATATCCTATGATTTTGAGGGATATCATTTTTATCCACAAGTTGATATCAATATCTGGACAAGTGAGCATAATGTGATATCTGTGGAATATCACTTTTTCCATGCATTTGCAAAATATCATAAATATATTTATATGTTATCATACAGATTTGACCTCAACTATGGGATTAAATGGTCTAATAATGCATAAGAAAATCCATTTCAATCAGCCATTCATGACTGTTTCAGTAAGCATTTCCTTGGGAACAGCTGTAGCTTACAGTTATGAAAAATATTGAATTCAAATAAATCTAGAAATTTATCACCGTTATATCATGTGCTGGCGTGTCTGTGAGAATGCGCAATGGCTAGTATATAAAGAGATTCGGGATATTATGATGGAATGTTGAACTATACAACTATAAATACAGTAGAACCTGCTAAGTGGAACACCTCCGTAAGTGGAACACCTCGCAAGTGGAACGCTTTTTCAAAGGCCCATTTTAAAAACCCATTGACTTAATGTTAATTGAACCTCTGTAAGTGGAACATCTCCAAACTAGAACAATGAACACCCCATATTGAAAAATTAACCTGCTAAGTGGAACAGTCAATTTTCCATAAATTCTAATATTGATACTTTTGTAAACAGAATTAACCTCCTACAGTGATATCTGGGTATAAAAACAGGTAATAATGTGATAATTGGCAAATTAGGATTACCATATAGCAAATTGGATTAACCTCCTGTAGAGATCAACATGTGATGCTACCACTAATTAATTTGATTATTAGCAAATTAGGATTTCATAAGATTATCATTCATCAAATTGGATTAACCTCCTGTAGAGATGGACATGTGATGCTACCTCTAATTAATACCCCTTGCTGTTTGTTTCAAACTTGATAAGTAAGATTAAGAATTTCGGTTAAAAACAAATGAATTATTAGCAGTACAAAACAAGTCTTTAAAACTTAATTGCCAAATCTTTGTGCCTGAGACTGGCAGAATGAGGAGGATTAAGAATGTCAGAAAACATTTTTGGCAGAATGAGGAGGATTACGAGTGTCAGATACCTTTTTGAGTAAAACAAATGGATAGTTGATGGTATAGAGCTGCCCTGCAATGAATGGAGAATCATATTTTCGGTGAAACATATAAACCCTATATTTGATCTTGTATGATCTTTAAATCCCCGCGAAGCCAAAACCTCCGTAAGTGGAACACCTCCTAAGTGGAACGCTTTTTGGCAGAACGGAGGGTGTTCCACTTACACAGGTTCTACTGTACTGAAAAAGTGTACCTACCAGAACTGGGTAGTTAGGAGCCAGAGCTAGGATGATGGCACCAAGGATGAAGACCAGGGCATTGATGATGATAGACAGTCTCCTACCATAGTGATCAACAAGAAAACCTAAATATTGCCAATTATACAATTTTGTAAAGCATCAAGATGTCATTTCTAACTCCACCTAAGTATGAGATTTAATACACTATACTGATATTTTGTTAATACAAGTATACTCATAACATTGTGAAACTGATGGAAAGTAGTTTGTAGGAGTTGTAATTTGTAGTTTTTGTACACTGTAGTGTCATCTGTATGACATGATTATTGAGTCAATAAAATATATATTTCAATTTTACTGTTGTTCAATGTCAACATATTTGGAGAAAATTTTCTGCCATATATTAACACCCACTTTAAATTGATCTAAGTAGAGTTAACTTTAGATCTAATTAAATTAGAACTGAAATCAAAGCTGACATTGAAGGACCTGATCTAAGATCAAACAAAATAAAAATAAATAAATAAAAAAATTTAAAAAAATAAAATAAAAAGAGTGATGTGTTGGTTCACCTCCAAGTAAAGATCCCAATAGGGCCCCCATCAACATGGAACTGACCACCATCTCTTGCTGGAAACAGGTCATGTTAAACACCTCCCTCAGTTGAAGTAGTGCACCAGATATAATACCTGCAATATATTTACACTTTAACTTTATTCTAAATTCATCAAATATCATACATATTAGGATTCATACTTAACTGACTGTCGGTTTTGTGGACAAAGAGCATACAATACAAGTGTAACTGAAAATGAGATATTTTTTACACACTCGCCACTTTGAGCAATACCATGCTGATGTCACAGAAAGACAAGTAATTGGCCAAATATAATTGAGCGGTCATGTTGATGTTTGGACCTTGAAATTTGAATTATAAATTTTCACTTTCTGTTTTTCACATTATCACATTTTAATTTATAAGTTTTTAAGTTTAAGAACTAACAAATGTGTATTTCTTTCAATCCACAAACAAAATTTTATTCTGGCAAATATGGGACTCTATTTTAAATTTCATTACACATGTACAGCATTCACCTTTATAGACATTTTTGCCTTTTTATTGTACATGATCATTTACTCCATTATACTTTTATTTACCCACCAACATCATATCCAAATAGAAGTCCTCCCAGGGCAGCCATCATGGAGGCAAATATAACATAGGATGCTGATCCATGGCTCCCACTAGAGGGCTCTGACTGTTGCGTGGGCACCAGGGGCTCTTGGAGTTCTAGCTGTAATCCATCCTCATCTTCTTCCAGCAAACCAGCTACAATAGCAATAGAAAAATACAGGATCTAGTATTTGAATACACTGGAGCACAAACAATTTTAATCAGTATTTGAAATTAATTAAGTACATGGGTTCACATTGTGAAAAGTGATATGTATCACTCAAGAAAACATTGTGGAGCAATAGAAGAGATTTCCATTGTTGTGTATACCAGGTTGTTCAATAAGTTCTCGGAAAAATGCTCACATTTCAAAGGTTTTAAAAATTTGATTTAAATATTTTAAGAATCAATAACCAGATATTTTTTGTATAGATGTCATGTGAACATTTCATGAAAAAATAAAAATCTTTAAAACTAGAGCATTTTCCCCAAACTTATTGAACGACCAAGGTATATTCCCATGAGAAATCTCACAAAAGAGTACATTTTTAGACTATTCTTTACAATCAAGTGAAAGAATTCATTGTGTGTTCACACATAACATCCCAGTCTTGTAAGAACTGGCTCATTTTTTTATTAATGGACCACACAATTATTTTTTGGACAATTTTTAAAAGTACCAAATATTTACTCACACGTGTCTCCATCGATCATTTGTTCCTCTGACATCATGACTGCTAATAAACCTTATGTCACCTTTGTTGCCAGTGGATAATCCTGCATCTACTGAATGTATTGTATTCTGTTGGCTCTTGAACACCCAGGTTTACTATTGACATGTTAACGATTATATTGCCTTGTGCTCATTGTTACAGAAAGATCATTCATTAGAGAGACTACATCTTTCAAACTGAAAAAATAAAAAATAGATTTATTGTAAAATTAATTCATCAAACACTGATGATTATGAAAATCAGTATTTTCAAGATAACTGCATCTATTTCACTCCTTAAATATACATCATACATGTCATAATGAGTCATTTCCTTTTATTTGTTAGAAAGATAAAATCAAACCGTAGTAATGAAAGGAGCTGCAGATAATCTATGCTAGAAATTACAAATTGAATACAGATTTAGATTCTTACAAGCTGACTAAGTCATTATGAAGTAATAATATTTTATTTTTGTGTCACAGGTTTAATATACAGTACAGTAAAACTGGTCTAATTAGAACACCTTTGGCACCTCTAAAAAGGTGTTCCACTTATAGAGGTTCATTTAGCATTAAGTCAGTTGGTCTTGGGACTCTGAAAAGTGTTCCACTAACAGAGGTGTTCGACTTCTAGAGGTGTTACACTTTTTAAGTTTCACTGTATTGGCTTATGAGGTACCATGTGATAATATTGCATATTTATATGTATTAAAGATATAATACTTATATAGCAATTCTATATTTAAAGGTGCAATAATTAGTGCAGAGGGGTCATTCAACGATCATGGACCAGTGTCAAAATATATTTAAGTTTGGATATTTCATCAAGACTAACATCTATTTTTATTATCTACAAAGAAACCCCCTAGATAAACATTATTTCAGCTGGTATTCCTCTTGAAACATGGTGGATCTTAAAAATATAAAAGTGGAAGTCCCCTTTTTGAAGCTTTGAACTGAATTCACACTTTTTAATGTTGAAATTGATAATTTATCCATACATTTAAAGAAAATAAGTATGTCAAAGAAGATGTTAAACCAAATGTTGCCTTGATAGCTCAGAAAAAATGAAAAAACTTTCCTATTTTCTCTACAGTCCTTATTGCCCCTTTAACATAGTCAAAAAGACAAAGGGCAGATTTTTCTTAAAAGCAACATTCATGAACATAAAATACAAACTTTGTTCAGAAGGCACTAATGGTAACCAAAGGTAGCCCCAACAGATATATCTTAAGATATCTAATTCTATTGAGGTGAATATGTGCATCTTTCACGAGAGATATTCCATGAAGTCTGAAGGACAGGTACTCACCAAAAATATGATTACTGTACGCCCGGTATTATTCGCGAGCTTTAATTTCGCGAATTTTGCGAAAACACGGTTTCGCGGCTATTAAATTTCGCGAATACTGTATTTTATCGTATTCGGAGATTCCCCAGTATATGATGTCCAATCAAATTGCAGGCTACGATCACGTGAACAATCGTGCGCACGTGCGCTTTCATTGCCGCGCATGCGCATAGTAAAGTCATGGAGTTGCACAGTACTATTGAAGTACTATAACTCGATCCAAACTAGTAGATAAAACGAAATGCATCAGAGCCCCGGGTAAAAACAAATTCCCGGGGATTTAATTTGCAATTTCGCGACGATAATTTTTCGCGATTTTAACACCCTCGCGAAAAGCGCGAAAGTTAATCGCACGCGAATAATACCGGGCGTACAGTAAATCTTTGTTCTATTATAGTACTAAATTCCTAATACTATTAAGTTACTAATAATATTTATAAACTAAAAAGCCTTTTTAAAGATGACACATTTTCAAAATACTGATTTTAATGTTCAGCAAACATAAGGTGATTCCATCCTCTTTATTGTACATTATTTTTTACCAATGTTTTTAATTCATGAGACAAATTACGGTTTACCCAGTGTCGTGTTGTGTTAAACTTTCAAGCACTTGAAAATTTTAGTCCTACTTCTTGTCAAATTTTATAGAGTAAACACCAAATACTGTAATTTCAAGAGCTTTGAAATCTTCAGAGAACATAAGTTGTATATACAGCAACTACAAGTTATTTCAAAGTTCTACTTCAACAAAGTGTCTAGTAGTTACAGAAAATTTCTCGGAAACCGGGTGAACTTGGGAAATGGCGACGATAGGTCAAATAGATGATGTAATCTATGTATCTACCTTTTCAGGTAACCTGTCTCCTATGGGACGGACCAACTGACGGACGGATACCTGGTCGATCACATAGGCTCACTGTGAGCCAAAAACACTTAATAACATGGTGACGGTTGTGACAGGCATAAGTCTTGCAACAGAAAGGGTCTCGTTTGAATTTTAATTGATGAAATATTCTCGTTACGATTTTGAGAACATCTAAAAAAAATTTACTCCAGAATAAACGTTTTCACGAGTGCACAGTGGTCCACATGCCATGTCTTCTAGCCAAGCAGTAACTGTAGTTTATCATTGAAACCCCCAACAGGTTTTTAATAGAACTACATGTACTTTCCTACTTACCACGAGATAAACAAACCGAGGATACATGACTATCAATCTGTTCCAGGAGGTGGTAGAGGTACCATGTAAGCAGTCACGGGTGTTACAATATTTTCTCATTGTGCCCGACGGCTACTTTTATTCGTAACAAAACATAATTTAAAAACAATGTTTCAAATAAATAAAAGTGTTTTTAAATTAATGAAATTATTTGATATTAGTATAAAGGGAATAAGATATTGTTATATTTATTTGAATTGGCAGTTGCTTACAGCCTTAGAAACTAGAAAAATAAAATTAAAATAAAAATGTGCCAAAAAAGTTTGTCGGAGCACGATAACACAGTCCTCAGGCGTATATTCAACCCCGAACTACCATACAGTGACACAGTCAACTACGAAGAAGAGTCTGAGGCAGAGAATACTGGTAAATATCATCATCAAATTACCCCAAAAATTGCCTTTTGTGATAATTGGAAAAATGGACAAATAAAATCCCAAGCCAGTGAATCTCTAGCTTGCCCGTAGCCAGCTTTTACCAGGAGGGGGAGCTTTTTTCCAGGGGGGAGTTTTTTCACAATTTTGGCTAAAAATCATGCGAAAAATTCTCAGAATGGTGAAATCTGCATGATTTTGAAAGAATTTCTCGCCGGGGGGGGGAGCTTCCGCTCCCCCAGCTCCCCCTCTGGTTACGGGCCTGTCTTGCCTACTATAAAGAACTCTATATATGTACGGATAGAGATAGAGAGATGGCAATAGTAGTTTTGGTCGGGAAGTTATGATTTTTCTTGATTTCTAGATGACTACAGTACACATAGATCCACAGACACGGGAACAAGAGTTCATCCCCCTCCCAATCACTATATTATACACAGATATCAGAATTTTTATTAGGAAATACATCCTCAAGAAGGCGCTTTCTTTAAGAGGTATTTCCCATCAGTGATTATACAGTGACTGGTGGGAGGGGGGATTTTAAGACATGCAGATTGTGATTGAACGCTACTATTGGATTGGATTGGAAACGGCAGATTTTTCCACTAGAGGCATTCTCTGACTTGGGGCAATGGGCATTGTCGTTTTATCCGTATGATTGCAGGCCTGCCAACTTGGGAACACGTAAAATGAGTGGCTTACAAATGTTGAACACCTTCCTTCAATTTATGAACACCTTGGTTCAAACCTGAACACCTTGTTCCAAATTTTGAACAGTGTTCAAATTGTATTGTGTATTGCCTTGGGCTTTCAATATTGAATGCCCATGGTATTGCATGTGTCTAAATTTTGGATACCTCTAATTTTTCATGCTCGCTTCACTCGTGCTCCATCAAGGGAGAGGATAGGAATGAAAGAATTCGAAGCAAATGTGTCATATATACGTAATTCATGTGAAAATTCTTTTTTTTCGACGTTCATTTTTTATGTAATAGCCTTTGTTATTTTTATGTTCTTCTCAGGATTTTTTTTGCATGACATAATCAGAGAAAATGCCTATTTGCGTAACATACAGTATTCTGACACACAAAAAAACTGGCGCGACTTAATTTTCTCCAGCAAATGCGAGACAGTTGGTAGGCCTGATAACAATAGTCTAACAATCCCCCAGGTTTTCACTCAATGCCAAGGGTTTTTCTGGGAATGCCCCGTGGCGGAGAATGCTCCTATGTACTTTATGGAGGATCAAACAAGTTTTGCAAAAATACATAATGCAATAGGTATATCATATGCAGGTAACCTTCACATCTGTTTGAAGTCCAATAATGCTCTAGGAGTAAAAGTTCTTGACAATGGCGCTCCTTTTATTATTTTAGAAAATCTTCCTGAAGCTGAGAATGAGGCGAGGCAGCTTGAGATAGAAGGTGTAAAGGCAGCAGAGAGTGGAGATGTTGGTGCTTCTTTGGAGAGGTTTAACAGTGCCATTAACAGATGTCCTAGTCGAGCATCATGCTACAATAACAGAGCACAAGCTTTGAGATTGAAGGGGGATACTGCTTGTGAGAGTTTAACTACTATAATAAGCTCATCAAATAAATTTGATCAAAGAATATATTTATTACATGTAATTTATGGCTTGTGTTCAATGGATTCCAATCTCTAGCACATATTTCTTTTTTGTTTCTGATTTGATATTGAACAAGTTGTTTATGGCATTTGTGGCTTTGTATTTTTCTTCAGGTGCAATGCTTGATGTTAACAAGGCCCTAGAGCTGAGTGGAGGGAAGGGAAAGGCTGCAACACAGGCATTTGTACAAAGAGGATTACTAAATAAAAAAGAAGGTATGATTGCATATGTATTATATCCAACATGTTAAGCATGCAGTGGTATTTAGGAATATTAGCAAGGTTGGCCAAAAAAGAGACTTAGGCCGGTAATGAACCAGGAATGGAATATAGAGTGAAGTTGTAGTGTGTATTATGGAGTCTGAATATTACAGCATTATTATTCGTTAATTCACATTTGCTTACAAATTCAGCTTTTGTGTTATTTCAAGACAACTTTCCTCAGTTGATATGAATCTTTGATATTACTATAACAATTGCAGGACAAGATGAGAAGGCTCTTGATGACTTTAAGCATGCGGCTAAACTGGGAAGTGCCTTTGCCAAACATGTTGTGGTTCAGATGAACCCTTATGCAGCCATGTGTAATGCTATGTTGGCTGAGGTAATGCAAAAAGTAAAATGTGGAGAGGACACAGCTTAAACAATGGAAAAGACACAGAATAAGACAAAGAAAGGACACAAATATAGAATATTATGATATTATTTATACAAAACATACAAACATAATAATTGTCATTCTATGATGGGTTTGGATCAATTATTGAACTATTTTATTTAGATACATGTAAAATGTATACCTGATACATCAATATTAAGTGTTTTACAAGGATCATCTATGTTTTGAATTATTACATGGCATTTTTTTAGTGTAAGATATGTTTTGTCTTTAAATGTGCAAGGATCTGAATTTTTGGGGAATTTTTGTTTATGCTGTCTTAACATAACTGGCTGAATGGCCAAATGTGATTGGATTAGTAGAGGTTCACATGTTGCAATGAAAGGACTATTGTCTCACTGAGGGGCCATGTCAAATATTCTTGTTTTCACATTTACACTAAAAAACGCTGTTTGAAATTGAATTGCAGTTAATTTTATATTGTGATATGCAACCCAAATAAACTTACACAAAGGAAAAATATTGACTTTTGATCTAAAAAGATATTAAATTGTGTTATACATTGGCTAATATTTTAGATCTAGTTACACAGTTATTTTTGGAACATAATATGAAAGACAATACTCTAACATTAAAGGTACTTTAAACTGCAGGTATAAATGCAAAGCCATTATTTTTTATTAAACTTGCATTATATGAATTTGTACAGTATTATGACACTCCATTTGGCAGCTACAAATAAAGTCATATACATATTGAAGTGAACTATTTTGTTAAATCTTTTTGGTATGATAATAGTTGGACAATCTATGCATCAAGATGACATTACAATGACCATAGATTGAGTAGAAATTGTGGTAATAAGTTATGATAAAAAACAATTACCATTTAGAGTGTATGATACTTGCACATATTTCTTTTTATTATCTATATCACTAAAGACCTTTTGGTTTATCTTGATGAAAGGCTAGATTTATTTTAAAAAATCAGAACCATCATTGAAGACGTAGTTTTCATAAAGTCATAGTCATTTCATATAATCAAATCAAAAAAATAGTCTTCAAACTCCAAGCCAATGGTTCCTGCCTGTAGGGCTTATTTTTATTTATTTTTTTCATCCACCATACTGATACTTGGTGTGTCGTATAAATAAAGAATTTACATTATTTTACTTTCAATTACTTTCTGTTTATGTACATTTTGTGAATGTATACAGCAATTTAGAGCAATGTTTGATTCACCCAAATCAAATATGTTGTATTTGGCAAGGGTTATAAGTATAAAGACTAGGAGTTTCGGAGAAAGTATTTCTCGTCTGTGGTATTTAGAATATTAAATATGGCTGACTGTAGCTTTATTTGAAATCCTCCATTCAATAGGTCTACAGATGTTAAAAGTGATAAAAATATGCATGTAGAATAGTATTGACATACACTTTTTAAAGTTTCACTTTCTTTAAACTAAATTAAAAATGTCAAAGTGAGTGCCTCATAAATTGGAAGTCACATGACAGTCACATGATCTATTTAAGTAGAGTCACATGATCTATCATTTGTAGCCATTTTGAAAAAAGTAAACAAAGTTGAGCACAGAAGCCTCTCACTTTAGAAGCATAATGTGGCAAATATACACTTTAACATGTTTAATTATTGCTGTAAATGGATGTGATATACCTCCAAGAATGTGGTGTGACTCCTTAGAAACTGCAAAACAGTGTCAGGTGAGAGAAAACGTAACTATTGTAACGCTGAATATTCCGTCATTTTACACTATTTCATCCCCATTGTTTACTGCATGCTAATAAATAAAAATGCCTGTTGAAAGCCCATGGTTTTCTCAAAGGTGATATGAATAGATCGATGGTATATGGAATAATATAGAATACATCTAAAGATAATTTATGTGTGTGCTCACAAAAGTCTTTGTAAAATTTTAAATGTTAGGGGAGGCATCAAAAGTTCAATGTCTGATAGGAAACTAAATAAATCTAGTTTTGAGTTGGACCCCCCCCCCTCCCCCTCAAAACTAAATACAATGAAAGTTGATCGCGGACTTTTCACATGTTTTAGCGACTCAATTTGGACTTTCATGGGGCCAGTACTATAACTTATTTATGATTCTTAAAACATGTGCCAACAACAATAGGCATAATATTCCATGATACATGCATCTTGGTGAAGAAGGCATCTGGTAAAGTCTTTATTTTTAAACCATTCCAAGGCATTTCGAGTCGAAATTGCGAAAAATTTAAATGTTGAAATTTGTCGGATAGCAAACTGAAATAGCTTTGACCCCCTCCCCCCCAAACTAGATTTATTTAGTTTTCTATCAGACATTGATCTTTTGATGCCTCCCCTTAGGAACTACTTTGAATTTAAAAAATAAGCAATAAGACTGTCATGTGTAGACTATCTTTTCTTTATTTTGGAAGCAATTAGGCTACCTGTTTGCAATATTGCTCTATTGTCCTCCAAACAAATTTACTGTTTGTACTGTAGATCAAATCTTTGAAGATGGGGACATTTTGAAGCTGTTTTGACCAATCGAAAGTTGAAAAGACCTGCGTTTGTAGATGCACCTGTTATTACATTTGTATGCCAGACACATTTATATTTTATTTCATGTGAAGGTTGTTGAGCAGTGTGCAAAATCAGTCTGGAAGGTAAATGAAGTGTCCCCAGAACCTGTGAAGTTGACCCTCTACATGGAATCTCTTTGTCCAGATTGTAAGAACTTCATCAAAGAGCAGTTGTTCCCTGTCTGGGCCCAGTTGAGCAACATCATCGATTTAGAACTTGTACCATATGGCAATGCTATGGTGAGTCTTAGATTCTAAATGGGCAGGATAGGAGTGAGGGAGGTCAATTGGGATACTGTATGTCCCACCAATGACCAGGCACAATGTATGATATAAGAATAATAAAAACTTGTTGGTTCATCACTTAGCCTTCTCTTCTACATGACAACTACTTTAAATTGGCTGGATGTAGTTTACTTCGGTCCAAAGCCTTCTCTATATTCCGGCTTTGAGGAGGAAGATTGAGCTGCCTTAGTATTATAAATATTGTAAATCATTGTGTCACACGCACAGTAAATATGGCATAATAATATGAAATATACCTTTATGTATAGATTTGAAGAACATCAGCTCACATCCCCGTCTGAATCTATTGTTATATTTGATTTCTTTAAGCGAGAATAATTTCAAATGTTATTCACGTCCAGAACCGGAAGCCATTTTTAGCTACAGCGAGAAAATTTCACCATGTGTCAAAACTCCGAAATGAAATTTTGAAATATCTAAATCCAGACAAGCAACGCTTCATCCTAAATATGATTAATATTCTTAAAAATATTTATAAAATTTATTAAAAATGAGTTCTAGGTGCGTGTAGGTGCGTGTAGCACAGTACATACGAAATCAATGAAGTTTCGTCTAGCTGTAAGCTAGAGACTCGAGTAAGATGTAGTCATTACATTTGAGATATTCAATAAATAAATAAATATACATACATGATACTTGAACGTACATAATATATGTAAAAAATGAATGTATGTACAAAAATGATTGCAGGAAAGAAAGAAGGGAGATATGTGGGAGTTTGATTGTCAGCACGGGAAAGAGGAATGTATTGGAAATCTTATTGAGGTATTTATACTATTTATTACAGCTAACTGATTTGCTTGTACAAAAGCACAGTTTTGGAACCCTTTAGAAATTCTGGGTTTGTGTAAAAAACCAGGTGACCGGGTAACCAGGTGACCGGGTACTTAACGTTCCTAGCAGGGTTAGGAATTTTTTTATTTATAACGTTGGATGTGGACGATACATGTACGTTATTTTCGATGTCACATTTTGAGGTTATTTCACATCGTAAGAACGTTTTGACAACGTTAACTTTAACGTTAAAATAACGTCGGTAATGAACCGATTTAGTGAGAACATATTGACGTCTTTGTAACGTTTCCTCAACTCACAAATATTTTGAAGCCATTTCCACAATGTTGAAATTCAACCATCCATCGACGTTTTGCTGAATATTTAAATAACATCAGATCAATACGGTCCATGAACGTCATTATTGACGTCACGTTTTGAGGTTATTTCAAATTTAATTTTAACGTTAACAATACGTCGGAAATGAACCGACTTAGTGAGAACACAAACTTTTTGTCATGTTTTTATTAAAAGCCTGTTTTGACAATGTTGAATTTTAACGTTTGAGTTACGTCACATATGGACCAATGTAGTAAAAAATCAAACGTTCCTGTTTGTTATATTTTCCACACTAACGAACTTTACGGACACGCTACAACAACATTCTTTTTATGCCATCAATAGATGTCTCATGTTTACGTTGCCTCGACGTGTAAAGAACGAAAATGTGCAACGTCTTCTAGGAACTTAGTAGCAACGTGACATGGACGTCACTGTTTGCTGGATCGATTATTTTAAAAAGCGCTCTGTCTCGTATAGGGTAAAAATATCGAACAGCAGTGCACTCGGTAGGCTAAGTCTGTCAAGTCAATTCGCTACTAATGGGGGGAAATGTGGAACTTTGAAAGTTGGTAACCCTGCTAGGAACGTTAGGTACCCAGTCGACCGGGTACCTGGTTACCCGGTCACCCGTTTTTTTTACACAAACCCAGAAATTCTTGATGATGCATTTAAAATTGAGATCATTGTCTAATAATAAAAGATGTGAGTTTTTCGTTTTGGATGAATAAACATGTATGCTGAGCACATTTGGCAACTTAGTGAATCACACAAGTTCAATACCAATGACAATCCCAGTTTTTTATTCGTTATTTAAATCTTATTATTTAAGATTTTAGTTAAGCCTGAACTGGGATTGAAGTTACAGTATTGACCCCTGAATCTAGGTCTTAACTATGTCTCATATTTGAATAGTTCATTGTTAAAGGATTTAAGACCATGACTCAATGCATTATTTGCTGAATCATACCATGAAGGTGTTGTTTCCAAACTTTTGCATGACTGCACAGCGGGAATGCAAAGTTTAGGAAACAACGCCTGAGTGGAATGAAGCAGCTACAATGCATTGAGTCTTGGGCTTAATCTCTTTTCACACATTGCAAATTCTTTTCTTTAAAATCATCTAAAAGGAATGGAATCACTAAAAGAACATTTTTTGCAAGGGTCAAGTTGGCAAGTCATCAAATCCAATGTGAAAAATCCATTCATCACCATGACAACTGTTTAACTAGTGACCTTGCATGTGTTCTTGATATTTCACACACTGTTCATTATGTGAATACTCTGTTCAGATTGGCTGGAATCGAACACACCTTGTCTAACTATGTGTGAATGAGTAACAATGAATAGTAAATACACAATTGGATTGGTTGAAAGTATTTTGCCATGGTTGAATAAATATTGTTGTTGCTTAACAAAAAAAATCCAATGCTAATAAAACTTGCCATGGCATCGGGTTGTTGTCCTTTTTTCCCCAACAATTATTAATTCAAATTTTAAATGCTCCAAATTAAATATAAAAATGGATAAAGTGTATTTTTTATTTCAGACATGTGCCATCCACATCTCAAACAATGTCACAAGATGGTTTCCATTTATACACTGTATAGAAATTGCAGAAGATCTACCTAAAGCATCTGCAATACGTGTAAGTACCAGGGGGGGATCCAGGATTTTGTGTTAGGGGGGGGGGGGCGTGTGATTATAACTTTGAGCAAATTAAAAAAAAAGAGTCAAATTTTGTAAATTACGATGAGCAAAACACGAAATTTCCGACTTTTTAAGGGGTTAGCCCCCACGCCCCCATCTAGATCCGCTGGTGAGTACATCTTTATAGATGATTGTGTTATACGGATTATGTCAGGCTTGTGGATGGATATTTAACCTTTGATACTCTCATAAACTTTGAGACTGTCACTGGATTTCGTCTGTCCCATATCATTTTAGATTAGATGCCCAACTTCAATTATTATTGATGTCAAGAGTATTGGTTATCATTTTTTCTTCAACATTTATTATAATGGTCTTCAGTATGAATGCCCCATGGTCTCGTGGTGTTTGATTGTGATAATGGTTCTTGAATGTTGGGGAAGGGGGGGTATCAAACATTGTTTCATTACACATTAAATCATAGTTTGAGATATTCCGGGCTACTTGATTGGCTTACATATGATTATAAGTAGCCTACATATTTCAGTGTGCTCAGATGTATAAGATAGACTACTCAGCTGTGCAGAAATGTATGGCAAGTGACAAAGGTAACCTACTTGAACACCAGATGGCTCTGAAGACCAATGCTTTAAGCCCACCTCACAAATATGTCCCCTGGGTCACACTGAATGGGGTAAGTGATTTTACAGGGCTATTGTACATGCATATTCACCCCAGGTTACTTCAGTTTTTTGTCACTGAATGTATTATATGTGATAGTATGATATTCTTTATTTACAGGTGTCTCACATGTCAATTACATGTATATAACTAGTAAGGAATAGAAATATTGTAAGATTTATGATTTCAAAATTATTGTTCTGTGGTGTAAGATAATTACTTTAGTATGAATACAGACATTTCATTACAACATTTAAATATTTTCATACATTTATATTTAAAGAGGCTCTATGCCATAGGATAGCACAATCAAGACCCCTTTGGACTTTTTTGCATATTGAGTTTCACCACACATGTACCCATCTACTTACCAAAGAAGAAGTCCCATATCCCCCTCTTTCAGTGTTAATTTTGGGATTGTGCTGGACAATCTAATTATTTTCGAAGAAATTAATTCAATCTGAAGTTTGAATATATCTGGAAAGTCCGCCTGTTATCTGATTGGTCGTTGAATTTGTTTATCATAAACCTGATTGGCTGCCTGGTTCAAGGCACTTGTGTGACTCAATGGGGATTCCCCTTGCTAGTCAAGGAATCGATTGTGTTTAATTCTGGAGTTTGGTTGTTCTGTTGATTATTTCAATATTTCGGCAATAATATACCATAAGTTATTCTCAAGATATATCCATGGTATGTGAGATATTATTAGCAATAACAATAGGACCTCATTGATTTTCTGGGGGAGAAACTTATGGCATAATGTATCTTTAAATGCCAATATTTTCTGTCCCTATATCTTGACACTGATGTTTAAACGTTTTAAATGATTTTCAGGTTCATACTGAATCCATGGAAAAGGAGGCTGAATCTAATCTACTGAAACTTGTGTGTGATACATATAAGGTAATAAGATGTAAATAGAGTAAATCTTGGGAGGTATTGTGTATTAGATTTATCCTGAGGGAGGAGTAGATTTTCTGATGATAGCTATTTTATATTTTTGCATGTGATGAATAAGAATTTTTATATAGAACGAAATGTTCTAAACTTTAAAATGGTTTTATATTCATGATATTGCACAACAAATATAAGTACAAGTGATTGTCACTTGCATTTATTTTTGTTACAGTCTACTTAATGACAAAACTAAATTAAATGTTTTATTTTGGTCTTATTGATTTATATAGTTTATTGGCATCTGTGTAAGTTTGCATCTGTCTATATTATCTTCCAGGGTCCAACGCCTAAAGCTTGCAGTCAGCTCGAAGACCTGGAGTCATTGAGCAGGTGTTATAGAGACTAGAGAAATGCAATTTACATCAATATGTGCCACTTTAATGCATTGAACAATAATATTTGGTGCTTGTGAACACTGTGTGCTCGACGAGAATGAGTTTTATCAATATAATTCTTGATTCTGCAATTTTTGTGATTTATTTTGTATTGATTTCCATAGTATCAATTTATGATCAGATCAGACTGGTTACAGGTTAGACAAGTATGGGATTAATTAATTTGGCTCCCGTTTTAATTTGACGGATTGGCATATTCAGAAAATCCACAAAATTAAAAATCAGTCAAATTCCAGTTTGGAATTTTTGTCCAATCCACTTCAGAAATTAAGCTCCAGGGGCCCCTTTTCCTGTCAACATGTCATCAATACTACTGTACATTATTCCAAAAGAAATACAGAAAATATCTTAGTAAACACATGTCCTCATGATATAAACATCTACAAAAATTAAACTTCAATCCTGAATCCGCCAAATTAAATAGCCACCAATATTTGAAATTGAGCAAATCCCTCCAAATAAGTAGCATCAAAATAAGTGTATCTACACTATATAGAATAAATTTGGCACCACTTTCTGAATTAATTTTAATTTCTTATTTGAATTTACTGTGGATATGTATTGATGTCTCTAGATATACATACGCACATATACATTGCGTTCTGTAATGCTATGTTGCATAAACTCATTATTACATTCACAGTCCTGATATATACTGTACGTATATATCAACCAGGATTGTATTAATACTCAGTGTTCAATATTTTATTTCTCTTGTCCATTTTTATTATTTGTGTAAATGTACACTGTAGTATTTATGTGTAGCCATTTTTGGTTGCATAAGCTGAACATCTCACCAATATTGGCCAGAAGTCATTCCATAGAAACATCCTATTGCAGTTTTGATGTTGTGTTGTTTACTAGAGTTTGTAACTATAAATATAAGAACAAAATAAATTCTATTGTATTTACAAAGTTTTGTTTGAGTATTTTTATTATTGCACATTAAGTCAAACAATTAGAAACAATGGAATCTATATATAAGAATATATCCTAATACCCACAAGCATCTTCTTCCGAATCAAATATATCATCGCATCATTTTCATTTCATTGCAATATAAGAGAACTCAATTGTGATTTATGCTGTCCAGTTCTCCTGAATAATGACTGATAAAATTCACTCACTTGGGCACTAAAATATTTATAGGTAGTATCAGAATGTCCGAGATTGTAAACAACTTTTCCAAATAGTTTGATTCACTCAGTATCGTGTCCCTTTATACACAGTACATGTATCATTCCATGTCAACATCATACACCATTCAATAATATGAACTTCATAGACACATTAAAAATGTATCCATATCCAATATTTGAATGAACTTACACATTTATTCAAGATATCATGGATCATTTTTGGTGTTTTAAAAGTGCCAGTATACACTTCTGATATACATTTTACTCTTACAACATGACTTCTTGAAGCATATATCAAAACAACTGTAAATGCAACTTAACCTACAAATGTGATATACAATACATTAATTATAATTTCATTGATCATTTACAAATTAAACTGTTAATCAAATGCTGATACCAAATATATTTTTAAAAACAAACTGTAAAGTCTACTAAAAGTAAAAATGATAGACTTTCATTCCAACTCAATATAAATAACCAATTACTTGTACAACAAGTTCATGAACAGATGCTGTTTGTCAAAATCTACCAGTCTCACTTATGGACCAACTAGTCCTATTTGAATCTACAATGTCTTAAAGGGTGCCGATAAGCTTCCCATATAAAAACAATATGGCGGCTCCAGGCGAGTCAACTGGATCAGTCCATTTATAAGAAATAAGGGGAGTTTTGTAAAATCCAGCTTATTGAAATTGTCTTGGAGATAAAGTTATCCGTTTAAGATGATTCTGAAAACATTATTGAGAGAGTGATTGTTCAAAGAATGCATATACAACACCCAATATAAACCTTTGCATTAGAGCTGCTTTATTTCATTTGGAGGATATTTCATATGTCAAAATGTGTACCAATACGTTATGGGGAAATTTAGATGTCAATTTTTCTTTATTATACACAAATAGAAGATCTTGAAACTTCACCCATAAATGTGAAATTGATTTGTCAAAATAAAAATCTCCCTTTTATAAATGTCTGACGATCTATAATATACTAATGCTATAAAACAGTTAGAGGTGTCGACACACTGACCTCAAGCCTGTGAACCCTTGAATATTATTCCGGGATTGGGCCTTTTATACTAAACAGTGAGCAACACCAGAAAAGAGTGTCTGAATCACTAAACGATATGTGTCACCCTTTAAAACAGTAGTTTCTGTTTAGTTTTGAATCTGTATGAGAAAGAGTATAACCTGACACTTATAATAGTCCACATTCATGTATATAACACATCTTTCTCCTCACCATCTGGAGCAATCATCTTGCCATTTATAGGACTGTAGGGTGTAGCCCCTCTGTAGAGGCAATAGTGTTGAATCATAAACAGAATGTCAAACAATATGGAGAAAAATCCAAGTCCAAATTTTGTTGGATCACCAAATATGGAACTCCAGTCATCTAGAAATACACAAACAGTACTTGTACAAACATACATATGAGAAATACACAAATAGTACTTGTACAAACATACATATGAGAAATGTTTCCTTTGGGAGAATGTTTTTTACCACTGTCATAATTTGCCAATTTTTACAATTTTCATTTGTCCATGGGCTATTGCACCCATCCACCTTGTAAATTTGTTTTTGAAAATATTCAAAATATTTGGTAAATATAATGGGAGTAAGGGTGAGAGCTTAATCCGAGATGGCTGACTTGAGGAATTTGAATTTCCAGGCTACTAACTATGTGGTTGCCCCAAAATGAAATTATGGCCAATGGGTCAACATTTGATGGATACCTTTACATTCAATTTGAAAACATAACATCTTATATCTATTAATTTTCTATAAGAAATGGCTCAATCAATAGCGCTTATCACCTATTTATATTTTTCAAATTTTTCTTTTTTTCTTGAATTTTGTTTCTCAGATTCTGCCAGAGTCTTTCGTGGAAAGGTAAGGTGTGCATTTATTGCTGCAGTACTATGGGCATCAATTAGAGAGAATACGGCATATATCTTACTGTTATTGTATGAGATAAGGAACATCTGAAGCAAGCTGAGAGAACCCCCTGTAAAGTCTAGCAAAACATTGCCAATACTCCAGCCCTCTGTACTCTTGCGTCTGAAGTTCATATAAGCCTGAAATAAGATAATGTATTGTAGATTTAAGCAGATCTCTATAGGTTTAAAACAAGATAACACTGTCTCCTAAAGCAAGGAGCCTAATAAAGGTGAACACAACTTCGAGTCATCAGCAAAAGCCAAAATATTAAACAACTGATTTCAGCTGAGTATATGTAGCTTAAGATTAGAATGTATTGTATAAATATAGCAATTCATGTTAAAGACATGCAGAAACATTTTTTATCCTTTGTATAATCATCAACACAATCCTTCCAGTTGTTAGACTCAATGAGTTCACCTGCCATAAGTTTAATTGATTGAAAATATTTCAATGCTGAATCAGCCGATGTACCTGAGGTATGTACTTTATGAGAGTGACCCCTAGTTTAATATAGGAGAAGTAGTAGAGGTATTGTAGCCATGTGATCTTGTGGAATATCGTCACAAAGAGAGCTATGAAAGCAAACAGCCAGGAGCCTGATACCAGCACAATGGAGATTTTCGACATTTTTTGACCTGCTCTCTGCAATAACATACAATAGCAATTACAGACAATAGTCACATACAATATTTATGACATAAAATAGCAATCATATACAAGGCATTAACATGACAAAATGTAGTGTGCTCACAATGTTATGACTCTTTTTTACCTTGATAAGGTCAATAAAGGTCAAATCTAAAATCTATAGTCAGATTTGATTTCTTGAGAACTTGTAGATGATTTTGAAAAAATGGTCAATTTGAAGCAAGTTGCAAATAGACATTTTGACCTTTTAACCTTTTTATCTTTAGAAGGTCATTGAAGGTCAAATCTTAAATCTAAAGTCAGATTTAAACATTAAGAAGGCCATTGGAGCTGAAATCTCAAATCTAAAGTCAGATTTGAACTTCTGAGAACTTGTAGATTTTTTTTTTAAAAATTGGTCAATTTTAAGCAAATTGAAAAAAGACCCTTTGACCCTTTTTTTCTACGTCTGGTCCTACTGTTAATGCTTACCTCATATATGAGACATTGTAGAATTGTAATGATGGTTACAAATACTGCATGGAGTGTGAACACAACATCATTCAGTTGTACAGGATTCACCCCTCTGGGATGTTCACTGTGATATTGACCCTAGAAAAACACAAACCTCTATTCAATGCAAATTCAATGTAGTGGGTCATTTTCATCAGTGTAACAAAATGTCTGAGTTGAAAATTGAAAAGTGAAGTTTTCTTAGCATGTTCTGATCTTGATATCTCATAGTGGAGAGATGTTCTGATCCCAACCAATGATAAATAATAATGCATTGCTTCGGCCCTTGCTCTGTATGTAACGTGATTTTGATTAATATGATAATAAAAAACCTTTAAACCTAAACCCATGACGAAACCAGTAGCAGAACAATCTTTATTTCAGTACAATGTATATTTAAATCAACAAATATGTTGGCTGGTATATGGATGGATGTTTATCAGTGGAGGAGTATGAGTAAATGTGACTTATTCTTACCTTGACCAGTGGGATCCAAAACATTCCAACATTAAAGAATCCATAGGCAAGAAATCCAGTCAAGTTGTAGGCCAAGAAGTCAAAGTTTAAGCCAACAACACTGTAACATAGAAAAAATATAATAGTTAAGTTTAAACAATTAGCTTTGTCTAACAAGTCTTCTTAAAAATCTTGACAGAAAGGGCGGGAATCATAAAGTAAACAAACCTGTAATAGACTTTTTTAATGAGTTCAAATTGAATTTAGATTTAATTGATATTTATAGGGTTCGTAATCCAGACGTAAAAAGATTTACATGGCGACAAAAAAAACTAGCAATAATGAGTAGACTGGATATATGGTTATGTTCGGACGACCTTCAAAATGATATTGAAAAGGTGGATATTGACACTGGTATTCTTTCTGACCACTCTCCAATAACTCTTAGTTTAAATAATCTTCATATTAAAAGAGGTCCAAGTCATTGGAGATATAATAACAGCCTATCAAAAGATAAAGATTTTGAATCCGAATTAATTCAAAACATTGAAATATGGTCAAATGAGTCAAAAGATCTCAAAGATAAACGAGTTGTTTGGGACTTCATAAAATATAAAATTAGAGAGTTTTCAATTAAATTTTCTAAACAAAAAGCAAAAGCTAGAAGAAAATGTAGACAAGATCTTGAAAATAAACTGATAAAATTACAAGAGCAACTTGATAACAGCCCCAATGATATAGCCATTAAAGATGAATTTTACAAATGTCAATTAGAACTTGAAAATATATTTGAATATATTACACAGGGAGAACTGATTCGATCAATATCGCAAAATTTTATCGAAGGCGAAAAAGGCACAAAATATTTCTTGCAACTTGAAAAGAAAAATGCTGCAAAAAACAGTATAACACAACTTAAAAATTCAAAGGGTGATATAGTTAAAGATTTTTCAACTGTTCAGAGAAACATTTTAGACTTTTATAAAAATCTGTATTCTAAAAGTAACGCAAAAGTTGACGACAATAATGCAAATAAGTTTTTTAAAAATGTTAATATTCCTAAATTGTCCAATAAGGATAAATTATCAATGGAGTCCCAAATAACAATCGAAGAATGCTTCAAGACAATGCAAACGTTTCAATTAAATAAGTCCCCGGGAAGCGATGGACTGACAATAGAATTTTATATTTTCTTTTGGAATAATATAAAGAGTTTTTTTATCGAGGCAATGAATTTTACTTTCACTAAAAAAGAAATGTCAGCATCTCAAAGAGAAATATTAATGAAACTTATTCCAAAAAAAGGTAGAGATGCTCTATTTTTGAAAAACCAAAGACCTATTTCCCTTATTAATGTCGATGCAAAAATAATAGCTAAAGTAATTTATAAAAGAATTGAAGCTTTTTTGGATAAATTGATACAATCAGATCAAGCTGCATTTGTGAAAGATAGACATATGGCTGAAATAGCAAGACTCATTGAAGATTCGATATTTTATACAAATGATAGAAACACAGATGGCGCTCTAATCGCAATTGATTTCCTCAAAGCATTTGACTCATTAAACCATGATTTCCTCTTCCAAGCATTAGAAACATTTAATTTTGGTGACTATATCAAATCTTGGATTAAAATACTTTATACTAACATACATGCCAAAGTTATGAATTTAGGATTTAGTGGAGAACAATTTAATATTGAAAGGGGTATTAAGCAAGGAGATCCTTTGTCCCCCATACTGTTTATTCTCTCAGTAGAGTTTCTGGCACAAGCAATTAGAGATGACCATTTAATCAAAGGGATTAAAATTGGGGAAGATAAGGAGATAAAACTTAGTATTTACGCAGATGACATGACACTTTTTGTAAGGGATAAAGAATCTGTACACCAAGCTATGAGAGTGCTAAAAGACTTTGAAAATTGTAGTGGGTTGAAAACAAATTTAGAAAAAACTGAACTCTTCACTATTGGCAAATCAAAAAATGAAATTTGGAAAATTGGTGCACTTAAACAAGTTAAAGAAATAAAAGTTTTGGGTGTTTTCTTTAACCATGATGAAACCAAGAAAAATGAGCAAAATTTTAGAGTCGTGATAAATCACTTAAAACAAACTCTTAACCTGTGGAAAACTAGACAACTAACAATAATAGGGAAAATACAAATTGTGAAAACATTTGGGTTATCAAAATTCAATTTTATTTGTTCGGTCATAGATACACCAGATAGATACCTTAAAGAAATCAATGATATTGTGTTTAAATTTTTATGGAATGGCAGGGATAAAATTAAGAGGAAATCATTAATTTCCGACTTCAAAGAAGGGGGCTTGAGAATGAGTGATTTAAAAACAAAAATTAAAAGTGCCCAACTAAAGTGGGTTCAGAAATTAATTAAAGATACAGACAAGAATTCTCCATGGACTGTCATTCCAAATTATTACCTTCGTCAAAAAGGTGGCTTATTTGTATTGAATTGCAAGTATGATATAACTAAATTGAATATTGATATGCCAAAGTATTATATACACATGCTTCAAACATTTATGGAATTGCCCCGTTCACAAACCGATATACCAGAGGAAATAATATGGAATAACAAAAAGATCACGATACAAAATAAATCACTCTTCTGGAAAGAATTTTTCAATAGAGGCATAATAAAAATTAAAGATTTATTTATAGATGGATCAATTAAAACATGGCACCAGATTAAGGTACAAACAGGTCTATCTGATGTATACATGCTGAAATGGTTTGGAATTTTAAAAGCCATCCCAAGAACTTGGCTTATAAGAAATAATGTATTTGAAAATAATGTCAATTTAGATGTAAAACACTGTAATTTTGATATTGTACATGGAAAAAAAATATTTCAGTTTAACAAATGTACATCAAAGTTATTGTATTCTATTTTATTGTCACACATTGCTGAACAACCAACAGCAAAAGGAAAGCTTAGTATAAAATATAAATTAAACGAAGAAGACTGGAATTTTTATTATACGTAGTATCATTACATTTTAACGTATTCTAAACACAGGGCTTTTCAATTTAAACTTATAAATTGCATTTTATATACAAACAATGATCTATTTAAATATAATGTAATACAATCGCCGATGTGCGAATTCTGTCATACTGCATTTGAAACGATTGATCACTTATTTTATCTTTGTGAATATACAAATCAGTTTTGGAACAGTGTTAAGCAACACATTTTGAAAAAACTCAAATATTTTGATTTAAACAATGTGCTCTTTGGCTCTAAAAAATGGAGCAAATACGAAAATATGATTATAATTATTGCAAAATACTTCTTGTATAATCAAAAATTGCTACGAGAACTACCAGTGTACAGAAAATTCGAAATGTATTTAAAATACTGTAAAGAAAATGATAATAAGATATGGAATGAATGAAGAAGGATGTCTGTGAAATGGAGTGAATGTTTAAAATATACTTTGTAAGAATATATTACAGAAGTCAATATGTTTTCTTAATAAAAAAAAAAAAAAAAAAAAAAAAAGTCTTTATAAAGGATGGAATAATAAAGCACAAATATCACTCAAAAGATCATCTAATTATTACAAGTATTCAACTAGACAACAGCAACGCCAAAGCGTAGCAAATCCCATCGGACAGCCATGGCTGGCATTTTTAGAAACAAAGTATATAGCAAGAATGGCAGCCATTTTTCAAAATGGCTACCTTCCACCAAAAGTGTCATTAGACAGTGTGCCATGCTTATAGTATTCACATACCAAATATGAACAAAATCGCTCCACGACTTTTTGAGTTACGGCAAATTGTTTTTGCTACTTTTGCCTCCGAACTTTGTTCGATGGGATAACAATATTCTGTAACAATGTACATGATGCACAAAGCTGATGAATAAATAGATGTCTCTACACTGTAGTGGTGTAATGAGTGACTCGGTCAATCAACTAGAACTCGAATGAGCCTAGAAAATGATCAATCGATTGAAAATTTGAAAATCCTGATCCTGAAAATTTCTGAGAAAATTGAATGCGCTATGGATTTTGACGGAAGTGGGAATTGAGTAGTCATGAAACCAAAAGTCGATGTAAGTAGTGACAAATGCCTTGATTTGCCAGGCTCTAATTTTCTCAATTTTTAAAATAAAAAAAATCGTCAAATTTGCCTCCTGGATCATCAAATTTAACATTCTACTCGAGTAGAGATTTTGGTGGCGAGTCCCACGACTACAGCTTAAATCATCGTGGAGTTCCAAATCAAGGGTTTCACTCTGTTTTTAACCTCTTGAATCCCAGGCTCTAAAATCAGTTGAAACCAGAGATTTTTTCATTTTTGCCACCTTTTGACATTATACTACATACCTATACAAATCCAGATGCTCAACTTAGTAAAATAAGATGGCAGAGATCATTTCTACACATTTTAAAACAATTTTTGTGTAAATTGGATGAAAATTGTTCAAATAAGAGCAATTTTAGTGAAAAATTTTATTGTCACTCTGACGAGAAATCTTGTCACTCCAGGTAGTCAAGAAGTTAAACTGTTACCTTTTCCTGCTCCAATTAAGATAGACTTGGGGGTAGAATGAAATGGACCATGCGGCAAAGTAGATCCACCCTATAACTGCATTGACAGTGATCAAGATGATACTGTGTACAACTGTCACCTTGGTGAATGTATCTCCAATTCTGAAACAGAATTTTTTACCTTCCATCACAAGTCAATGTTCGTTACATTCAGAGGTATAGGCAGGATCTTCAATAGATGAAACTAATGTGAATATAGGGATATAAGCCCATAGTGTCTGTAGTTGTAGGACTTCAATTTCACATGTGGAAAATTTCTGAATAATTATTTTTCAAAAAGATATTTCACGGGGGTAAAGCAGACCAGATGATGCAATGAGCTTGCTCGGCGGTATCATGACTGTGTAACGGGGCTTAATGTATAAGTGAGCTCGGCAGTAGGTTCAAACAACGCATATCCTCAAAGCATGTGCTCATGGTATCAACGTGGCTTAACACCCGTGTATTTGGCGCCTAGCTACGCCCATGATGATTATTACATTCTGAGAAAAAAGTACTTATTATTGTAATGTAAGATTTTACAATCGAAGAGCCTTTTGAAAGATGTATATCATTTTAACAAACAAAATATAATATAAATACAATTCAGAGACTAGGACTAAAGCAATGTTGGCTCCATAGAGTAATAATTATCACGATGCCCATGTCAAGCAGCGTGCCTACTAGGCACCCAGTTTGAAACTCTGACAAACTGCGAGCATATTTCAAAATGGAAGACAGGGAGGACATGACTCCCAAAAAGAGCCAAAATACGAAAAATACAAGATAAGCCTCGTTCTAAAGATAGTGCCATTCTGTGAAGATGAACTTAATTTACTCATAGTACTCAATGTTTTTCCCGATGTAAACCTAGTTATCTCAATATAAGGGTCTAAAGTAACTTCTGTGTTCAAAATTTACAGTGTAAAGTTATATCTATGTCTTTTTATCGTCATTTGCCGTTTATTCAGCCATTGTGTCTGTGTATGCTAGAATATATAGGATCACTCCATCTGATTAAAGCAGCATAGTTTGTTTTCAAAACGATAATACGCCATAAACGTGATTTAAACATTTTTCTTGTCAAACTGCGCGCTTATATTCACATGTATTTCCCAAACTGCGTGCCTAATATTTCCAAATTTGCCTATCCAAGCTTGTTTTGTATTATTAGAAAGCGTAAGCGCCATACGAGGGTATATCATAAAGTTCTCATAATATCTCTCTAATTTTTTTATTTTTCAATATATCCTGATGAATTTTTTACAGAATATGTAGTATAGAATGCTGTATTAATCTATCAAAAAATATTTGGTATAACAGAAATATTATTTAAGAAATGGTTGCCATAGTAACCCGAAATCAAGGCACCCGGGGCAAATAAAAAATTGTGCAAGAATAGCCCCAACTAACCATGTTAAGATGCATAACAAGTTATCAAATAAGCTATGAAACACATCAAATTGGTAAGTACCATGTATTCTTGACTGTTTTAAACTATTATAATGGTCATGTGAATTGTGTGATCTCATAATGGATGATTGTAATGCTTCATTAGAAGTGATGTCAGACACTACAACTGTTTTGTCAAATATTCCAAGGAAAGTCAATTTTCCACTTTAGTCCATCTTAAATAAATAATAGACCGGTATAGGGTGTAATTATGTTGGTATCTTTGCACCATATTTGTTTTACATCATATTTAGTATGAGCAAAGGATTTTTTGAACTAGACTTTTTATCAGTGAGAATATTATTTTTCTGATGATCCCTGCATCTATGCATTATCTTACTCAGTCATTTCTGATCATTAAGCTTTGATTCTCAGAGTCTGGTATCACATCTAATGAAGCATGTAAGCATCCCCTATGGCACCACACAATCCACATGATCAATTTATTTTATAGTAAAAGCATTTAACAACACAGTCAAGTTAACATTTTAATATGTTTGGTAATTTTATGAGAGTTTATTATGTATGTAAACAAGGTTAATTAAGATCATTCTCTCAATTATTTTTATTTGCCCCGGGTGCCTTGATTTCCGGTTACTATGGCAACCATTACTTATCTAATTTTTCTGTTATACCAAATATCTTTTGATAGATTAATACAGTATTCTAAACTGCATATTTCATGAAAATTTCATGAGAATATATTGAAAAATAAAAAAATTAGAGAGATATTATGAGAACTTTATGATATACCCTCGTATATGTAAGGCACATATGTGTCTAATAGTAGAACCCCATAATTGAAACACTATGACAGTCCATCCACCAAAATGGTGATCTGAAAATAAAAGATTCTTTCGTTCCCAACTTAATTGTCACTTCTATTATACATTTTGACTTTCAATATGAAAATCTCATAAAATCTAACGATAAAACAAAATTTCCAAAGCTATATGAAAAACACCTACACGTGCCTCTGTAGAAATTCCAATGATAATATGTAGTTTTAATAGTGTATGCGCACAGTTTGTAATTTCTGGCTAAAATAGGCGCGCAGTTTGAGGTTTATTTCTTTTTAATCTCCTGATTATCTTTTTTATTTTGAAATATTTTGAATTATACATGATAAATGCGTAAGGAATTAAATATAAAACGAGTCTAAAGTGTTTGTCATTTATGTTTAAAGTGCTAGATCGATTTACGTATAAATTCCCGTTAAATCAGTGACGAAAATGCCATTAATCTGCTTATGTTTTAAAACTTAGATTCATTTGCACATAGTTTTTGCTAGTATTTGCAAGATTTGTGCATTCGCCACAGAATGAACGCATTGAACAAGAAAACAATGCAGGATAAATGTCTTTAAATTACGTTTCAAAATACAGACTCCAACTTAAATGAAGCAATGTTGTTAGGCACGCAGTTTGTGATCGAAACAAACTGCGCGCCTAAGTAGGCGCTCAGCTTGACATGGGCACCGTAATTATGCAATAAGTTACAGAAACTGCTACCTTTCAATTTCCTCACTAGATGAGTTGAGTCCAAGTATGACATGGCCAGCATTGCAACCCTGTATGGTCACTTGGATGTGTGTGATTTTGGGGACAACTGTGATATTATCTAAAGGTTTTATAATCTTGTCATCATCTCTATAAGATGCTGAGTCTGCAGTATCTCCTATTTGGTAAGTGAAGTAAAGTGTGGCTGTCTTATTCAATGGTTCACTGGAAATAAAATTAACTGTACATGTACAGGGTGGTCCAAAAAAATGGGACACTCGTATTTCAAAAATAAATATTGATTTTCTTGATGAAAATGTGTCATATTATATACCAGTAGATAGGAAATTTACTTATCTTTAATTTAGTATATCATAAGTTCAAAATTATTATAATGTCTGTCAACCAGCATCCATAATATAAATGAAGTCATTTTCATTTCAAAACGGGTTTTCCAAAGCTTGCAAAAACCAAATTTTATTGTCAACTTTATTTTCATAAACAGTATATATGTCCACCATTTTGATCAATTATAGCCCTCAATTTTGGCCTAAACTGGTCAATAGCATCATTGTGGTCCACTACAAATATAACGATTTTTACTACAAAAGTGAGAAAGAAGTATCATGTATAAATAAAAATATGTAATGTTTCGTTATCGCTATAGGTTAAAATCAGTTATATTTTTGGAAAGTTGTGGCATATATCATAAGAGGAGAAAATCTCACAACTTTAGGACATACATTGAGATAAACCCAGAACACAAACATATGTAAACAAGCCATCTAATTATAGTTACCTAAAATATATATTTATTGTGCTGTTGGTGTTGATAGCAAGTTTTGTTTCGCCATTTCCAAATCGCACCTGTGATGCCGCAGCTGTGAAAATAAGAAATAATTAAAGTGCAGGAAGAACACTGTATATGTCCAATGCCACCAATTGTGATAACTTTATTTTAGCTCTACCCCCCCTCCCTTCATTCCCTAAAACAGAATGTTGATTTCCTTTTTGTTTGATTTTACTATCCTTTTTACTTTTTCTGTAAGAAGTGTTGCAGAAATATGAAACCCCTAAAAGTCATATACCCTAAAGTTATAGACATCAAAAATACTTCAAAATATAATAGTATGAAAAAGAAGGTACATTCGTGCAATTTATCCAATTCCATGACTTAGAGTCTTGCGCTCCAATGATTGTTTAGGCAGTGTTTCTACAACACTGGAGAAAGTACTACGCATTGCGCACTTGAGGAAGGGAAAATCCAAGACACAATGTTCATTCTAAATTAAAAGGGATTCCTTTTTGAGAAGAAAGGGGTCAGGGTCGAGATCTCGTAAAGTATCGCAAAGAGCAATCTCCAATCGTAGTAGGTTAATCGGCAGAATGGGGAAACTTTCATTTTTTAATCACAAAATTCCTCTGTCTAGACTATAGTTATATTAAGGGGGTTCCCCTTCCGACATATTGAATACTCAGGAATGAATCGAGGTAGGTCATTTAGTGTGCAATGCATAGTACTTTCTCCAACATTGCAGGAATACTGCCTGAACAATTGTTGGATCGTAAGACCACAATGTAAGTGGGGTCGTAGCATATGATCAAGTGCAATCCTTGTGCAAAACTGAAAGATAGTAGGCAATTTGGGGAAGGAGTTCATATTTGAAAAATAACATGTGACCTTAACTCTATTAAGGATTGCATCAAAATTATGAACATACACATAGATCGCGGCAAGGTTCTTTTGTAGTACGATCAGAAGCTCTAAGAATAATTTGGAAAAAATGTCACTAAGAAAATTTGAAATTTTAAAATGACCATTGTGCAGCCATTTCAGAAAATATGAGACAAATCATACCTCAATCGAAGCGTCTTGTTATTCCTTACTTTCTGATCACAAATAAACGGTATTCAAGCAATCCTGGATTGATAAGAGGCCAAAATAGTATTATCTTATCCTCAGGCTCTCATCTGTCCAAATCTGAATGGTGCTCCTGTGATTCCAGAAATGTGACGTCGGCATACAATGATATTTGGACACACAAGAGCCCAGATCAAGTGAAAAATATTTGCCGTATTAAAAGTCAAACTACTGCCTCCATAGGTTATATACTCAAACCAAACAAGTAGAAATAGAAAGATGAAGATCTCAGCTATAAAATCAGTGCAAAATCTGTCACGGGGAAGTAGGTACCATTTTGTATAAGGAACATTTTGAAAAGTGGTCACTTTTTTTGAAATTTTTCAATTTAGTGACGCATGTGGAAGCCCAACTGTTCTGGGCTACCCAAGTGTTCTGACTCTTGCCCAACTGTTCTGACAACCCAAGTGTTCCGAGATCGCTTATTTTATCATCTCTTATAATTCACAAGAGAGGGTTCAAGAGTCCTAAAATGTTGGCTTGTTGAAAGTTTTGACCCAATTTTTAAAAATATGAACCCATTTCTTTAAATCGAGGCCCATTTTTTCAAAAGTCCCATTTTCCAAAAATGAGGTATATTCCTGAAATTGAGACCCACCCTAAATATATTGATATATTCTGTCTAAATATTCTATTGCTCAGGAGTGTCCCATGGTGCAAAAGTTGAACAACTGGGGATTTTACATTTCCCAATGGGTACCCTGCTAGTTTATCTGAATAAAAAGAAAGCCTTTTGTGCACGAGGCAGCCACATTAGAAGTGGTTTCATTAGCTTAATTTCAACAGTCACCTCTGTAGAAACCTTAAATTGATATTAGAATTTGAAAATCACTGTATCGAGTGTATTTGATAAAATAAATAAACCCAGAATACTTGGGTCAAGTCAGAATACTTCGGCAAGAGTCGGAATACTTGGGTAGCCCAGAACAGTTGGAGCATCACAGCATATCTTCTGAATTATTCTTTGAGCCTATGAGATCATATTACAAAACGATCAGGCCAACATCTGTGAACATACAGGACAATCTTATACATAAAATATAATTGCTGGTTTTTTATTCCCGTGACATGCATGTGATTCACAGATTGTATTTTTTTATAAAATTTCTAAAACCTTACCTGTAAATTTCACAGGCCAACTTAGATAAGTTACGAATAAAAAACATGTGAAACTACGCATCATATTCCTATGTATAATACTATATCGATTTAAGATCATTATGGATCCAAAATCAGCGATAAAATGTTGTTTTACTGGATATTTTTTCGATTGTCTTACTTTTTGTCTACCATTTTGTCCGGTCACATGATTTATAAAGACCATGCCTTATTTTGTTTCCGTCCAAAACTTGAAAACATAAGATAAGACCCGAATCTTGATAATATTTCTGATTCTGTTTTATAATCAATTTTAAGAAAATTCATATTTTTGGGTTAAAACCCCAAGAACTAAAGGAAACATCGAAATGTAATAATGTAGGTCAAAATATGGATTTCAAATAAGCCATTCTCCCAGAGACCGGCTGATTGGTTGAAGGTTATCTCGCGGTTAGTGTCAGGCCAGGTAATACAGATTCAGTGTCAAAGCAAATACATCAAAGGCACATTTATTTAGGAGTTGATATCAAAAGGTAAGTTCTTATAAATTATTGCATGCTTCTTCCACGTGAATGCCTGAAACACTCGTTTCTAAAAACTATCGAATGATTCATTGATTCAATGATTGTTGCCACAGGAAAGGGAAATATGTCAAAATGACATTTCTTATCTGACAAGACTGTTTTCTCCCTGTCTAGCACTCATTCACTACTATGTATTAGAAAATCTCATATTTAAAGTTTGTATGCTGAACTTTTTGTTTCATATATATCTTTGAATGAATATGCAGTAATGACTAAACCCCCGGGACTAAACCATCATTGAGAAAGACATGGAATTCACATTCATGTTTGGAATAAGCATGGGCTTTCAATTCAAAAGATAGATTACAGAATGCCACTCCCATTAATTTTTGTACATATCTTATGTACTTTTCTAAATGAGGATATAGGTCCATGGTCTTGGAGTCCGAAATTTGGTATTCTTTGAGTGGGAAATACAAATTACTAGTACGAAATCACCCACCCCCCTAGTCTATATCCAATAGACTGAATTTCCTGAGAATTTTCATTCCAAATATCAAATCACCCCTGGCTATGGGCTTGTCACTGTAAATAGAACACATTTAGATCCTATGACCAATGGACTTATGTTAATCGCAAGGGAAACAAAATTTTGAGGTATCATAAGTGTTCCACTTATACAGGATTTACTGTAGTATTTAATTTTTATTATAAGAAAAAATAGGAGAGTGGATTTTAAAAAGACAAGACATTAATGAATCATACTTTTATACTTCTATGCAGTATGAGACATAATATTCAAAGTTTTACTGGATAAAATGTGTAAAAAGTATCTGAAAAAATTTGGTGAGGTGCTTGCCTTGCCTGCCTCACAGCTTAGATGGGCTGACCCATTTATGAACCATTGGAGTCACGGCATACAAAAGGCTACCCTTGGAAGAGAATCAATGACACATTTCTAGTAGTAGTCCCCTAATATGTAAATCCATTATGATTACACATATCTTGTATCTCAAGGATATACTTTTCTTCATGTTTTATGTGTAAACATTCATGACATATAGACTACTTACTGGGAAGGATTGAATATAGCTTTTGTTTTGAGGGATAATATTGACTGAAGGGAAACTAGGATATTGACAGAGAGAGAGCTTAGCAACGAGTGTCAATAAGGTATTACCCCTTTGGTCATTATTCGCTCCTGACCAGAAATAACATGTTTATTTCATGAAGTATCGAGTAGTTTAAATGCTATATTGGCACTTTAAATGACACATGGTTCACCTTTAAAAATAGTTTTTATCCAATAGACAAAATCTTCCTAGGATTCAGTTTGAATATTTTCAGTCAATTTTCAAAATATTTCAGAACAATTGAATAGGGTTGTACTCCTGGGGTTGAACTGAGTTGTATAGTCTACCTTTTAAACGATGCTAGTTAATACGATCAAATATGATCTTTTTTCTTAGAAAATATGATTTTTCCTTGTCAGTTCAGAGTTCACATGTTCAGTTCATTTTTTCCTTTGTTTTTTCTTTGGAACATTTTAGAATTAATTAATGGATCACCCCTTATACCTGATACAGATCAAACAATTTATGTATCATTGGTATTCCATTTATCATTTTTGTTATCTACTGTTTAAGTGAGATTAGCTGCTAACCTTGGAAGTTGCAGTTAACCAGGAATGATTATTCTAAAATTGATTTTTTATCATAAATGGTGTAGGAGAATGATTTGTTATAACTTTTAGCAGTTTAAGGTTATAAGCATTATTATTGATAGTGGCAGTATTATTCCAAGATTTGATAGTTTGTGGCTAATTAATGATCCTAAGATACTGGAAATCAATGCATTCCCAAGCTAGCAATCTAATGCGTTTTCATGGTATCAAGAGATATAGGGTATTTTGATTGTGAAGTTTGTCCCAATAGCTGTACTATTATTTGATCAGATAGAACTTAAATTATTTTGTTTTGTATTGGTACAGTTCTTTTCTTCGAGTAAGGAATTTTATTCACAATTGTGTTTTGAGATGTATTCAAAATATTTTGTGTAAAAGAGCAAGTGAAGTAAGTTTGAACTTGGATTTTTCAGGTCTAGCAATTGTGGGATAAATTTGGGATAATGTCAGTACCTTCTTACTTGGGTGTCATTCATGTTTTTCTAAGGTACACGTGTACACGGTTCAAGGTACAGAGGTTTTTGATAGAAAATCATACTGGTAGTGAAATTTACACTAGTCATTGAAATATACATACAGAATATATGGTGAATGTCATTACATTCTTATCACACCTCTTTCAATTTTTTTTAATTTAAAGAACTCTAAAAGAGGATCTTCGTGAGAATTTTAGAAATCCATATTTTAAAAACATGAGGATCAGGAAGCTTGCTGCAAGCTGACTCCTTCAGTATCAAAGTGGAGATGATTATTGAACCTCAATACTCCCCTCACATGACTCTCCTTTATAATCCAAAGCAAGGAATTGATTTACATTTTATAGGCTTGTTTCTTTCATATGATATTTTAATGAAAGTTTGGTTTCTATGTATTTTTCCTCAAACAAACAATTAACTTGTTTATTGAAACTATTGAAGTATCAATTAAGATCACAGTTCTAATTTAAGTGAGTGTAGTATATGATATTGAAGATAATGCTGAGTGTTTGTAAATAGATAAAAAGTAAGGTAAACTTCAACTCAAGTAGTTTGAAGTTCACAATTTGGGATGTGAATGTAAGGTCATTTGCCCATTGCATGCAGGTGGCTAAGATATTTTTCAGATGCTGAATGAATATTTGCTTGTCCTATGTCAACCATAAATTGATGTTTGAATAGACTAATGCCATTCACAAGTAAAGCAAAGAGCAAAAAACTTGTGTAAAAATCTATTGAAACGGATCAATTTCTTTATTTTATATATCACTCTGAACCAGGCCATAGAAAAGGTACATGCAGTTAAAAATGATTTAAAGTACATACCAGGCTATCAAATCTTGATTTAATTGTATAATATTTATGCTGCACATATACAGTTTCAAATATTAAATGAAATTTATTTATCAAAACTGTATGTGAATGTTTCATATAGAATGTTTACAAATTATTACAAAATATCTAAATCAAAACATTTTGTCAAAATTATGTTGAATGACGTTTCTACAGATTATTTTCAGAATTTTTTCTGAAAGTATGGATCAGTACCTTAAAGTCCCCGTCTAAAGTTTGAAAATCTTTTTTTATCATTCATTTACTATTTGTCAGGACTTAAAAAGTAATTTTAGAGATTTTTGAACAAAAAAAATTTTTGATAAAAAAGTTGTGAGCATTTCATTTTTCAAATATTCAAATTTCCCGCCATTTTTCAAAAAAAGTTGAAATTTCTAAATCATCAAATATTTCTTAATGCATTTCACACGCCTTACCATCGCGTAAGCAGGCGTCACCGTACAGCGTCAAAAAATAGCGGAGTACAGTTTTCTGTACGGTAACGCAAATTAACTGCTTTGAAGCAAAAACTATGACAAGGGTTTAAAAAAAATTAATTTGATGAAAACTAATACGATTTCATGTGAAATAAAAACAGCATTCTCTTAGAAATGGTTTTAACTTTCTGATTATGATAAACGTTTTACGAGCACTGTTTGGATTTTTTCTGAGTGAATCGGCCCACATAATCGACCAGAGTGAAAAAAGGTTGTTTTTTCACATTTTGTTTGGTTATTAGACTCCAGATGTCAATCTGGAGTCTATTGTTTTTGCCAGTATTCTTATTCTTCTTCTTATTATTCTTATTTTTCTTTTTGAGTTTTTTCAGTAACTATAAGGTATCCAGTAAAGACCATTATACAGTTGATTTAGGTTCAGTATCTAGTTGGTGGGAAATTGGGTCAAATTTTTATCTAGGTCAAAGGTCAAGAACTAGGTCAAATCCAGTACTTTGTCACTTTTTTCAATTTTCTCAGTCGTCCTTCAATATTTTCGATCCAGGTTTTTTTCATTGTATTCCTCATAAAAAAGTAGGAAAGCTAGGGTCGATTTAGTTTTTTGATATCTCAAACCGATTTTGAGATATGGCGTCCAGAAAGTAGGTCACACCAAAACGTGCTCCAAATTCAATGTATGAGTTATGAATTAGAGGTAGAATTTTGTCAGGAATCCGAATCTACAAACCAAATTTCGATCCGACTCCTGGTTCGGAAGTTATGGCGTTTTGAAAACTCAGAAATCGCTAAATTTTGTGCCCATGTTAAGTCAATGGGAAAAAAGATTTTTTTGAAATGAAAAATACGAAATATAGACTGAGTTCAGCTTAATTTAATGAAAGCTTTCAAAAGAAGGGGACCTCAAAAGCCATCTAGCTTCAGAATTTGGATACCAAAATTCCTAGGTCAAAATCTAGGTCAAATTCAAAGGTTTTCCTTATTTTTGCGATTCTGACACTACACTTCAATTATATTCTTCGAAATTGTGTATACATGTAGCCAAGAGTGTGCTTATAGTGTTAGCCTTTTGCCGTCAGAAAGTATTTTGACCCACTTTTGAGATATGGTGTCCGAAAAGTAGGTCAAAATAAAAAGTTCTCCAAATTTAACGTATGAGTTATGAATTAGGAATAGAATTTTGTCAGGAATCCGAATCTGCAAACCAAATTTCGATCCGACTTCCGCTTCGGAAGTTATGGCGTGTCCGAAAAGTAGGTCAAAATAAAAAGTTTCCAAATTAAACGTATGAGTTATGAATTAGGGGTAGAATTTTGTCAGGAATCTGAATCTGCAGACCAAATTTAGATTCGACTTCCGGTTCCGAAGTTATGGCGTGTCCAAAAAGTAGGTCAAAATAAAAATTCGCCAAATTTAACGTATGAGTTATGAATTAGGAGTAGAATTTTGTCAGGAATCCGAATCTTTAAACCAAATTTAGATCCGACTTCCGGTTCGGAAGTTATGGCGTTTTGAAATTTCGGAAAATCGATCTGATGGTATCCTGATAGAAAGTCAAGAGTA